CACAAAGACCCGTACAACACCACTCCACCCCCAGAGTGATGGGTTAGTGGAAAGATTTAACCGGACTCTGGGCGAACAGCTATCTATCCTGACTGCCGACCATCAGCGCGATTGGGATATGCATTTGCCCCTGGTTCTGATGGCGTGTCGCACTGCGGTCCATGACTCCACTTCATGTACACCGTCCCTCCTCATGTTGGGCAGAGAGTTGAGAACACCAGCGGAACTGACCTTTGGACGACCCCCGGATGCGCCGTGGGTCCCTGCAGGCCCGGACTACGCCAGGCGGCTGCAGGACCGCTTGGACTCTGCACATGCGTATGCCCGCAGGCAAATGCGTAGTGCGGGCGTGCGACAAAAGAGGAATTATGACGTCCGGGCGTAAGGCCGACACTTTGCGGCTGGGGAGCTGGTGTGGACCTACACTCCTAAACGGAAGAAAGGCAGGTGCCCTAAGCTGGATAGCCACTGGGTGGGACCGTGTCTGGTCCTGGAGCGGCTGGGAGAGGTCGTCTACCGGGTGCAGATGCCTGGCAGGGGGCGCCGGGTGGCGTTACACCGGGACAGGCTGGCACCATACCGGGGCATCGCCTCCCCTCAGACAGCTGGAGGAGAGGGAGAGACGCCTGGGGTGCCTGTCGTGGCATCACCTAACCGGGAAGTCGTCGCAGGTAGCCCGGGGGACATCGCAAGTGCATGCAGTTTGCCACCTGCGGCTTTGGAGCCACCTGACCTGGGACGCACAGGGGGGCAACGGGAACAGTCAACACCCGCGGGCCGACCGAGGAGGAAGCGGCGGACACCACTGAGGCTTGGATTGCTTGAAAAGGATAAATCAAACTAACTTTAGTCATACAAGTAGATATGGAGGAGATATGTTACTGTAAGTTAAACAGCACAACGGCATTATAATACACAAAACTAACGAGGAACTTATATATTAATAGAAAAGAATACTTACCAAAATGTGTTTTAATCCTGTCGTTGGTCACAACAGCCAATGTCCAGTGTTTTAATCCAGTCCATTAGCATTTAGCACAAATGCTGCAAACTTCAACAACTCGCTGAGCTTCCGCGATGCTGTAGGTAGTTCTACTAGCGTTGTGATTGGAGACCAACAGCCGATCACAATTGACCTCTAATTCTCTGATTGGTTGGTTTTGTGGCACAAATGTAACGCTGATGCAAGTCGAGCGAGCGCGTGAGTGAAACGTCGAGCGAGCGCAGAGTGAAGAGGTGGAGAGAGCGCAGCCACGGCTGCCTGCGCGCAGAAAACCAGTTTGTGGCGAGGGCACCTCAGTAAACTGCGCGCACGGAATATGTTTTTCTTTGCTAAAATGTAGTTCTCTGTGCTCAAAACTTACAATTACGCGCTCAGGATTGTGGCACAAATATAACGCCATAAACATACAAGGAATTTGTCTTGGCGGTTAGTGCGCGACAGTAGACAGACAAGACATCAGTGCACAAGTAATAAAATAAAGTAAAATGAAATGCTAATGCAATGGGTTAGTAGAATAAGGCTATGGGTTAGTATAAAACAAGGGAATAAAGTTAAAAAATTTAAATATTAAAAAAGTTAAAAAGAAAAATATGAAGCATAAAGTGCACTAACGAACAAGTAACAGACAAGTAACAAAGTGACGAGTGACGACAAAGTGATGAATTGCAGTTAAAGTGGCATGTGCAGTGTGAAGGGGAGTGACCGGTGGAATGTTATAGTCAGTCAGTGGGGGACTGGCTCTGTTGATGAGCCCGACTGCCGACGGGAAGAAACTGTTCGTGTGGCGGGAGGTCTTAGTCCTGATGGACCTCAGCCTCCTGCCAGATGGAAGGGGCACAAACAGTTTTTGTCCGGGGTGAGAGGGGTCGGCCACGATGTTTTTAGCTCGCTTCAGAGACCTGGAAGCGAACAAGTCCTGCAGGGACGGCAGATTGCAGCCGATCACCCTCTCTGCAGAGCGGATGACACGCTGCAGCCTGCCCTTGTCCTTGGCTGTGGCTGCAGCGTACCAGACGGTGATGGAGGAGCAGAGGATGGACTCCATGATGGCCATGTAGAAGTGGACCATCATCGTCTTTGGCAGGTTGAATTTCTTCAGCTGCCTCAGGAAGAACAACCTCTGCTGAGCCTTCTTGGTAATCGAGCTGATGTTCAGCTCCCACTTGAGGTCCTGGGTGATGATGGAGCCCAGGAAAGGGAAGGAATTCACAATAGTGACGGGGGAGTCACACAGGGTGATGGGGGAGGGTGGGGCTCTGTTCCTCCTGAAATCCACAACCATATCCACTGTCTTTAGAGCGTTGAGGTCCAGGTTGTTCTGACTGCACCCCGACACCAGATGGTCAGACTCCCACCTGTAGGCGGACTCGTCCCCACCAGAGATCAGTCCAATGAGGGTGGTGTCATCCGCAAACTTCAGGAGCTTGACGGACTGGTGACTGGAGGTGCAGCTGTTGGTGTACAGGGAGAAGAGCAGAGGGGAAAGAACGCAGCCTTGGGGGGAACCGGTGCTGATGGTCCGAGAGGCTGAGACATGTTTCCCCAGCTTCACGTGCTGCTTCCTGTCAGACAGGAAGTCAGTGATCCACTTGCAGGTGGAGTCGGGCGGTGCAGCTGGGAGAGTTTGTCCTGCAGCAGAGACGGGATGATGGTGTTGAAGGCAGAGCTGAAGTCCACAAACAGGATCCTGGTGTAGGTTCCTGGGGAGTCCAGATGCTGGAGGATGTAGTGGAGGGCCATGTTGACAGCATCGTCCACAGACCTGTTGGCTCTGTAGGCGAACTGCAGGGGGTCCAGGAGGGGGTCGGTGAGGGACTTCAGGTGGGTCAGGACTAGCCGTTCAAAAGACTTCATGACTACAGAGGTCAGGGCAACGGGCCTGTAGTCATTGAGTCCTGTGATCCTGGGCTTCTTGGGAACAGGGATGATGGTGGAGGCCTTGAAGCAAGCTGGTACGTGGCATGTCTCCAGGGAGGTGTTGAAGATGTCAGTGAACACCGAAGACAGCTGGTCAGCACAATGCTTCAGGGAGTGAGGGGAGACTGAGTCCGGACCGGCTGCCTTACGGGGATTTTGTCTTCTAAAGAGCCCGTTAACGTCTCTCTCCAGAATAGAGAGGGTCGTTGCTGGTGGGGGAGGGGAAGGTGATATAGATGAAGAGGCGTGAGCACCTGATGGGAGGGGAGGGGGACTGCAGCAGGTTGGTGGAGCTGTGGGGGATGGGATCAGGACATTGTCTTTCAAATCTGCAGTACAACTCATTGAGCTCGTCTGCCAGGCGGAGGTCATTCATGGACTGGGGGGTTTTTGGCTTGTAGTTGGTGAGGTGTTTGAGGCCTCTCCAAACCGAAGCAGAGTCACTTGCTGAGAACTGTTGTTGGAGTTTCTCAGAGTACAGTCGTTTAGCATCTCTCACCGCCTTGCTAAACTTGTATTTTGCCTCTGTGTACAAGTCTTTGTCCCCACTCCTAAATGCCTGATCCTTCTGCAGGCGTAGTGTTCTGAGTTCCGCTGTGAACCAGGGTTTGTCGTTGTTGTAACTCACCCTGGTGCATGATGGTACACAGCTGTCCTCACAGAAGCCGATGTAGGAAGTTACAGCCTCTGTGAACTCATCCAGACTGTCAGTAGCAGTCCTGAAAACATCCCAGTCTGTGCAGTCAAAGCACGTCCGAAGATCCTCCAGCGCCTCACTGGTCCACTTCTTGAATTCCCTCACCACAGGTTTGCAGAGCTTTAGTTTCTGCCTGTATGCAGGAATCAGATGGACCATGACGTGGTCAGTGTGTGCCAGTGCAGCACGAGGGACGGCGTGATAAGCCCTGCTTGCTGTGGTGTAACAGTGATCCAGCGTGTTCTCCTCTCTGGTGGGGCATTTAATAAACTGTCTGTATTTAGGAAGTTCATGGCTGAGATTTCCTTTGTTAAAGTCCCCAAAGACAATAACTAAAGAGTCCGGGTTGGTCCGCTCCACACGCCGTATCTGGATGAATGAAGCGAACTCACGGGGGGAATAAAAGGGTTTGCAGTTGATGAAAAAAGTTTCCAGATCAGGAGAACAGTGTTTTAGGATCACCGTTACGTGAGAAAAGACACAGATGTAATCATACGTGCCCTGACTGACCTTTTAGATGTTGTTGATTGTCTGGGTCCATAAAGGGAGGGTCACAGGGTCACCCCTACATCATCTGGTACTTTTCCAACACTCCTCTTTGAGGGGTGGGCTCTCCTGTGCTGAAGCAGCACAAACCTCCCTGAAGTGTACATAAGCTCCTGTTCTCCTCTTTAACTTGGTCAGATCTTCCTGCTCCTTTTGGGGGAAGGAACATCTGTCCCTTTTCAGCTGAATTGTAGTCATTTGACTTCTGTCTGTGCTTACGACTTGTGCTGATGATTTCTGTATTCTTTATCTTTTTCCTATATTCTAGTTAGTAATAAATACTTAATCACAAAGCAAGCTCAAGATACTTTTGATTTCTGATAATCAAAAGTTCTTTTCATGGGCTTAGTTGGGGGTTCGCTGTCTTGTCTTGATTTAAGAGTTAGGTAAGGGGGGAAGCAGGATCTGCCAAGCAGGCAGACACGAGTCTGACAGGATGGGGAGTCAGTTTATGTCCTGGCTGAGGAATGTAAGGTCTGCGGGTCAACTAGCAGATTTACCAGCCAAAGGGGGGTTAGAGACACACCAACACTATTCAACATACACACTCTGTTTACGATGTTTACGTTAAGTCAGGAGTCTGGACATTGGATGTGACCGGATCTTAGATGCGGGAGGTGGAAGGTCCTCCTCTACGCCAGTTTAGGGCCAATAGAAATCTTTCCTTCTCTGTCTTTCAAGGGTTGTAAAACATGATGTTCTTGCTGATGTTAGTTAGTTGTTCTTCCGGCCTGTGTGCTGCCTGAACTGCTCCTGCCTTTGCAAACGCAGCGCTGATACTTGACCTGTGATCTGACAAATAAATCTCCTAGAACGAGAGAAGTTGTTCGGCTGAATTTTTGATAACCCCGACCAGGCTCCAATTCTTGAACACGTATTCTTACATTTCTCACAAGGGCTGTGTTTACCTTATACCCAATCTGGAGTGTATTTAACAAAACAACGTAAAAGATTTTCGCTCCAGTTAAAAATCATGTGCAAAAGTGGTGATCCTTATGATATAGGATACTTGTGTGAATACATCTTTGGGGGTGTAATTTAAGACTTTTCTTTGGATCCGTTCTGTCCCTTTATGCAAACAATGCAGCTCACCATGGTGTCCCTCTGGGACATGATACATGGCTGTACCTTTATTCCCAAAATCACAATGTCAAAGGCTTGCATCAATCATTACTCTGGCACCAGTCAACCGTACAACCAGTAAAACAAACTATATACAAATCAGTAGTAATTTGTTACCGACGATCATCTTTTTGCAGAAAGCCGAGACTGTATCCAAGTCTATTCTGTTGGTCAGCAGGTATCACTGTCATATAGTAGAAAACAGGCTCCGGCCTTAACGTTCTCTGGTTGCTGTGTAACCTCGGCAACCGTGGCCATGGTGCAGTGAGCAGGTGACAAGGTCACATGTGGCTGGGCGACGTTTGCCTCCACATGCCACGTTTGGAGTGAAAGTGATGGAAAAAGTTCCTCAAATAGAACCTCTCCACTTCCAACCCGCCTTTCACGATTCTGCAGCAGAGCAGAGGAGAGTTTATTTAGTTACAATTCATATTCGTGTTTCCACAATATCAATAGATAGAGAAAAAATGAATTTATATTCAACCTAAACCAATAAATTACAAAAGTAATTATGCTTGTTGTTTGATTTAGAAGAGATCAACACACAACTCCAGGTGACCTAAACGTCACCTTGTATTTTATGTAGTGAAACATCAATAAAAATTGGCAGTCACTTAAATGTACTGTAAAAGAAAAGGCATGCCATTCGATCTTGCAGCGTCATACTTTAGACCCACTTTAGGTGCACACTTTGGAATTGACTGAATGAATTCTTTCGTTATTTTAATTTCTTTACAAAGTCAGAAAGTAGTGAAACATACTCTCACAGTTTTCCATGAAGTCCATGAACATTGAGTTGAATGAAAACAGAAAACAGCAAATAGACTGAAAAACAATTTCAGACAAACAAAGTCTAATTGAGAGAGTGAGGTGTGGTGGAAATTTGTGGATTTAGCCCTTGTGAGAAATCAAAAGTATCTTGAGCTTGCTTTGTGATTAAGTATTTATTACTAACTAGAATATAGAAAAAGATAAAGAATACAGAAATCATCAGCACAAGTCGTAAGCACAGACAGAAGTCAAATGACTACAATTCAGCTGAAAAGGGACAGATGTTCCTTCCCCCAAAAGGAGCAGGAAGATCTGACAAAGTTTCTATGGGGAACCAGGAGCTTTATACATCTCTGAAGGTTCGAGGAATGGTAACCAGATGTTGTTTCGGGAACCTCCACGACCCTCTTAGTGGGACCAAGTCAATCATTTTGACAGACAGGAAACAGAGGAGAAAGGTAAATAGAAGAACATGATATGGTCTGTCCAAGCCACATATGGATTTCATCGTAGACTAGGTCAGGTCACGAGTTTCCCAAGAAAGGTCACATACAAGTTCTTGAGACTCTCACAACATGCACCTCAACAAATTCTCCCCCGACATGAGGCTCGACCTGTCGAGGAGCTCTCAGTCTTCTCCGCCCCAGCGGTCTCTAAATTCCTCTGTGTTCATTCCTCCAACAGCATCCAAATCTGATTTATAAATCCGCAGCAGGCCGAAGCCATTGACCTCCCAAAAACCTGAAACGCAGATGGGAACATTTTCATTGTTCAATGTTGCTTGCATCCTACCGACAGGTCACTTGACTTAAGACTGAATCCCCACATCTACGAAGAAGCAGTGGAGAGCAGGGTGGAGACAGTATCCATGGTAACACACAGCAAAAGGGAGCCGGGGTCGTCCTTCAACCTGAGGAACGGCGATTCGTTAGTCCGTGTCAATGTGCCTATGAGCAGGAGGTTTTAGCCCAGGTAGCTCCTCTGGCTGTGCCGTATGAATGTTGTATGCATGTTAGTTGGGCAGGTCGTACCACGCGTGGTCCACCTTGCTATTAGTGGATGAATGGGTGTGAATGGGTGAGCAATGACATTTAGTGTTAAAGCACATTGAGTGCTTGGAAAAAGCGGCTTACCCCGTATCCCAGTCTCAGGACTATTGGAGCAAAGGCCATGTATCCCTCAATGCAGTGTTTCCTGATGGTGTTGATGATGAAGGGAGGGAAGTTGACGTGGAGGTCACAAAGAAACACAATGCTGTGGTCATCCGGAGAGATGATGATGAGGGACATATATATATATATATATATATATATATATATATATATATATGGGTGTATTATAACAGTCTATGCACACATAAATCTCTTGCTCTTAAAGCTTAATTGCCGAGTGACGTTGCAACACTCACATTTATAAGGTCAACACCTGCTTGGAGACCAGCCGCACGCTCAAAGTTTCCACTCAGCCTCACATACTGGTACCTGAACAATTCCACATACATATATTATTATATGACGAGCTTTAGAAAGTTTGGACTGGCTCGATTCACTTCAAAGAACATGCGTACACAACCACACACCTGACGAGTGAGGATTTCTGCAGAGCCTTCTTCACGTACATGTACCCCCAAAGATTTTACAATAAAATGAATCACCCGAGTACCTTGATGATGAAGGCTTTTGTGAATAGCAAAGTAAAAGAGAAGCCACCACGCAAAGAGGACCGAGGAACCCAAGGAGTCGGTATTGGCAGCGTTATTAACGGTGGCGTGGGGATTCCACCGGAAGCCCACTGGGTTACAAAGCTTGGGCTGAGTTTCCGGTCGTTGGATACGTGCGTCCTGGTCGTTTTGCCTGCCGTCGCTAATCGGATAGTAGACGTAGCGCGACATGCGGCGCAGCTGGCCGTTCACGTCCTTCAGCTCCAGCTCCAGAAGGTAGCGGCCTCCCTGGACCACGTCCACGCGCTTCATCACGTTAACAACGCGCACCAATGGAAATTGTCTAGGAGGAAAGAGAGAATAAAAGAAAACATGATGAAATGTGTCAAACGCGCCCCCCCCCCCCCCCCCCCTCCTAAGCAGTCCAATGATACATCCGAGCGGTTGCAAGAAAAGGGAAAGGAATTTGGGGAAAACAGGTACCAGTGTTGTGTGGGGATGCTCCACATACTTACCCGTGGTGCTTGTTGTTCAGCTGTCGCATGAAAGCTTTGACTACGGTCAGAGCACCACTGGACTGGAGAAGCAGGTTCTCTGTGACGTTGCAGCGCAGGTCGATCCAGTCCGATCGATGCGTCTGGTGCTTCACTCTGACGCGAGTGCTGGCGATTCATTTACTTTATGCTGCTCCCTGTCCAATTTATTTTTTACTTTTTGTCTTTTGTTGGATATGTCCTGCACATTGGGAAGGTAATCTCATGTATCTAGAAAATCTGAACCTGAAGACAAGAGGACAAAACCCACAATTATGTAAAGTTAATCATCCTGCTTTTACATTAGAACCACAGATTTATGTTATTATTGTGCTGCCTGAATGCTGTCGTTGTGCTGCAGCTGATGTGGTGGCGACAGCTCTTTGGACTTCATATTGAGAGTTGACCACAACAGATTCCAAACACCAATACCACACGTGAAATGAACTCTAGACCTTTTATCTACTCCTTGTAAATGGAATATAATGAGGGAATTACACACACCTGACGCCTCTGTGATGCCTCTGATTCGGGTTAATTACACAAAACAAACAATACTGTCCGTTCATCTATTCACGGTGCGGTTATTAACTGTTGATTCATCAATACAATTTAGGCTAGTGGGAATTTACCGAACTGGTTTGGAGGTCTGACTGGCATACTTCTCAAACTCGCCCGGGGCTGACCATTCTGTGCTGGTCTAGAAGAACAAAGTCCAACAAATATTACAGTTTGAGGTATGAAGAAAATGCTCACTGCCGATTGAGAAGATAATAGTTGACAATACGTACTGTCCCAACCCATACCAACAGCTGTGGATAGTCATCTGTGCTGAGCCAAAACTCAAGAGTTGTCATCAGAGCTCAAAGCAAACAGAAACTCTCCTGAGAAACGGAGAGGAAATGGGAGGTTAGAAGAGACGGACTAAGGGAAGCATACAGCATGCATGCACAACCGAAAAAAGATGAAAAAGTAAATGTTGTACCATCAGTATATGGATGCAGATAACCAAATATCCGGATTCCGTAGTCGGTCCACTGAGGAAAGATGGCCAACTTCTGCACCATAGTCCTGGACTTTGAGAATAAGACATGATGTTGATGTCACCAGGGGGACATTGTGGTTTCTGTAAATTATTGGTTTTTACATTTTAGCGTGGTTTGTTTTATTACATTTTAGCGTGGTTTGTTTTTACATTTTAGCGTGGTTTGTTTTATTACATTTAGCGTGGTTTGTTTTTACATTTTAGCGTGGTTTGTTTTATTACATTTTAGCGTGGTTTGTTTTTACATTTTAGCGTGGTTTGTTTTATTACATTTTAGCGTGGTTTGTTTTACATTTTAGCGTGGTTTGTTTTATTACATTTTAGCGTGGTTTGTTTTATTACATTTTAGCGTGGTTTGTTTTTACACTTTAGCGTGGTTTGTTTTATTACATTTTAGCGTGGTTTGTTTTATTACATTTTAGCGTGGTTTGTTTTTACACTTTAGCGTGGTTTGTTTTATTACATTTTAGCGTGGTTTGTTTTTACATTTTAGCGTGGTTTGTTTTATTACATTTTAGCGTGGTTTGTTTTATTACATTTTAGCGTGGTTTGTTTTTACACTTTAGCGTGGTTTGTTTTATTACATTTTAGCGTGGTTTGTTTTATTACATTTTAGCGTGGTTTGTTTTATTACATTTTAGCGTGGTTTGTTTTATTACATTTTAGCGTGGTTTGTTTTATTACATTTTTGCGTGGTTTGTTTTATTACATTTTTGCGTGGTTTGTTTTATTACATTTTTTACATATTAACCCACCTTTCAGTAAATTACATGCACCTGGAGGGACTAATCAATTACAGAGAGCCCTGGCCAACCACATTACACAATGAAAGGACCTCCCCTCTCCAATTAACACAGCTGCTATAAAGGCCCCAGAAAGGTGAAGCCACGGGGCAGGGGAGCCACAGGAAGGAAGGCCACAGAAAGGTGAAGCCACGGGCCGGAGAAGCCACAGGAAGGAAGGCCACAGAAAGGTGAAGCCACGGGCCGGAGAAGCCACGGGAAATCGAGCGAGAGGGCGGCAGACAACGGACGAGCAGGCAGGGTGCAACGAGGAGAGGAACGAAACGGACTGGACACCTCACCCAGGAAAGGAACGGAACCGGAAACAAGAAGAAAGGGCAAGACCGACCAGCAGCAGTGGCTGGTCGAATTCTTAAATCCTTTTAGTACCTTGTTCCAGCTGGACTTTTAATATTGTAGTTATTTATGGGTTTTTAGTTAATAATAAAATCCTTCTTTTAAACCACGCTTTTAAGTCTTGTGATCCATGCTGTTCTTCCTCTGGTGAACAAGAACCTGTTTTATGGAGACCTAGACTCCGCAACTAGGTGGCGTTGCTGGTACCTTTTTATAAATGTATCTTATTTTTTATTAGATTTTAAGTCCCCCGCCTCACAGGGCTGACATACACTCAATGTGAGGCTACATCTCGAGTCCAGGGACACAAGGATCTAGCGTGCAGATGTAGAATGTAGCTCCGAGTGAAAACAACCGTGTGTGTGTGTGGGATAAGGCTTGTGTGCAGGGATGTCTTTTTGCACGATGAATGCACTCCTGTACAAAATTTGAATGGCAATCCTTCCAATAGTTGCAAAGACGTTTCCTTCTGGGATCAAAGTAGTACACTGGCCAACGATTCCATGCCTTCAGCTACAGTGCCACCAGCCTAAATCATCAGTTGGGTATAATGAATGGTAATTAATGGTGACTCACATGAGGATACAGAGGGTAGTGCCGGTCCTTGCGGAGGTCAGCTGTAGAACTGCCGCACCAGTCCTCAAAGACGTGCAGATTAGCCCGTCCCTTGTACTGCAGAAGGTAAACAGAGAGTGACGTCCGTTTGTGCTGCGGTTAGTCGGCAGTGGGACAATTAAGCTGCACAGAGTTGGGGTTTAGTTTATTTGCTTAGTTGAGGAGGGTTGTAGAGCTCAGAACATTATTTAAACTACAACTACTACTACAAACAACTATTTAACTTCATAGAAACCAATTCATCTGAAATAATTGACAAATTTGTACTTTGAAACAAATTGAGGTCATTTACTTTCTTTATTTAGGTAAACGGATCTATTAGGCAATGTTTGAAGTTTGGAACACAACGCCGATCTGGATTGTCAGGAGCTTTTCTCGCCTGTGCTCTTGTGGCACCCCGGTAATCCATGCACACTCACTACATCTGCTTCGTGAACCCCGGGAAGAATAGCTGCAGCAATGCTGTAGTTGATGGGGATCCCATTTAACTTAATACATATTCACACGCAGGCAGAAGAGGGAAACCTTTCTTCTCCTGCCGCACAGGAAATGGGAAACCTATCTGTGAAAGCCTTAATATTTGAAGGACTTCTATAGGGTCATTGTTACAACCCCTTTGCTTCCTTTCGATCTTCATGGACTTCATGGAAAACTGTGAGAGTATGTTTCACTACTTTCTGACTTTGTAAAGAAATTAAATAACGAAAGAATAATAGGTGGCATAAACAATTGAATCAATTGTTTTAGCTGATTAAATTAATTATACACTACAACTTGAAGTGCTTTATAACATAAACAAGTCGAAACTAATGAGAGAGATTACACTAAAGTAAACAGTATAAAATACTAAAAAACATCTTGCGTAATGACCCCTTCCCCATTTCTCACCAGCTTAATTCAAGCAACCTTCTTTTAACGTAACTTTTATTTTGATCTCAGCTACACACGTGCAGTTTTGTGACCGCATCTTGCACAGTTTCAAGATTGTAAATTGTAAAAGAAAAGTCAAAAAATGTCATACAGTATCAAATTGTAGGTATTTATTACACCTTTCTTTCAAACCTTCCAAAAGACATGAGCTCAACACAGAACACCCACAGACCAGTTGTCCTACATGGGCTCACAGGGCTCGTATTCGTGTTCTGGCATACAGTCTTCAACAGCCTGATTTCGATTGGCTGTACAAGCACACGTGCATTCATCTACTTCTTTGACAGTACATTAATACCAACTGTTTTATTACGTGTGTCCAGGACAGGCTAATTCATTCCGTTTGTAGCTGCTTTGAAATCCACATATTCCAGTTAAAAGTCATTGTTTATAATTTTTAGAACAAAAGTCAGAAGCACAACACCGGGAAAAAAGTACAGTCAATATTTCCAAGGTAAAAGGTAAACAGTCATGGAACCCGGGGGCTACGGAGGAGCGCCATCTTTAGATCGAGAGGAAAGTTCAAAGTTCAACAGCTATTCCAGGTTAACTTCGTATTACTCCACCTATCCACAGTGGTCCTACATATGTACTTTAGGACTCAGTCGCGCTCACATTCAGACACAAGTACACACAACCATCATCATGATCAGTAGCCCCGTGAGGAGTGTTCGATGGATGGCAGAAAACATGAAGGGCAGAGGGAGGGGGGGGTTGAGCGAGATGAATGGTCTAGCCCTTAACGGGTGAAATTCTGCATTAACACTTGGATGCACTTTTTATCCTACCGAAAAAACGCATGCACTGTTCAAAGCTGTTGGGTTGAGAGGGATCAGAGGTGGGGGACGTCGTGGCACACTATTCATTTATTAAAACCACCTTGAATGCTGCCATCAGCTGGAGAAGCTCCACCCACCAAAGCAATAGAACCCGGGGACACAGAAAGCCAGCGAAGACGCTCCTTAAGCCGGTGCACTTGTTGATAGGCTGGTACGCACGCACGCACACGCACGCACACGCACGCACGTAAACACACGCACAAAAACACAAATAGCTGAAGTTACAAAAGTCTGAAGCACCGATGAACCGTCTGGTCGTGTCTATCTACGCCTTTGAGTCACTGGCAGCTTCCTTTTCTCCGTTCTCAACTTCCATGCCGTCATCGCCGCTCGTCTTGCCATCGCTCTTCACATTGTCTGCTTCTTTCTGTTCATGAAGAGAGGAAAAAAGAAAATATAACACAGGGATTTAAAAAAAACATGCTTGTCCCACCCCCTAGTAGTTGTTTTAGGAAAAATACAAGGCGTTACCTTTGAATCCCTGTCTGCAAACTTCTGGAACATGTTGGCGTAGATGCGTTTGTCCTTCTCATGCTGCTCCTTGATACGTTTCTGACAAAGATTCACCTAACAGAACATAATGTACAAGGTCACAACTGTATTTCAGGGACAATGGCCTTCAGATTTTCCCTGCACTGGCCAGACATCACTAATCGAAGACCACTTTGACTCGAGTTAAAGGGTATATATGAATACTTTCAAACTGGCCCGTTACGTCCCGCCAGCCCATCTTCCTAAATTAAGTTTGTTTTGCTAAAATTAGATTTAACATTTATTTTGGAAATAAAAAAGTAAAAAAAACATTTGCAGAAAAAAGAAGAAGCAATTTAGTTTTAGGTTTGTGACACAAAGACCGTGTAGTTAAAAGTGTTACGTTTACAGTAGGAAGTCAATAAGCAACCTGTTGAATCTTCACAGGCGGTGCGGCTGCTCTAACCTGTTAGCATAGTTGTCACAGAAAAAAGAGAAGTTCTGCAACTGGGAGGTAATTAAGACCGGTAGTTTCCCAACCCGCTTATCAATGCAGCAACAACATTTTACATGCCAAATGAGCGCACACCTTAAATACTCATCTCGCTATGCATGTTGTACTAACAATAAGTATAGCTGGATTTCTCAACAAAAAACTGTTTATTTGTATTTAGAAACAAACTAAAATGTGTAAAATAAGGCCCGATGTGAAAGGAATCACCCTTCAAGACCCACGGCATTATACCTGGCTCTTGGCAGCCTTGTTGGCAGGATAGAGTTGAACCACCTGCTGGAAGTCATCTCTCGCTCTGTCGTACTCCTTCATACCAAACAGTGCCTCTCCCCTTCGGAACAAAGCCTTCTCATTAGATGCTTGCAACCCCAGAGCCTACAATTACCAACAGAGCACAGAGAAATATTACCGCATTTAACGTCGTAAAGCAGAGCACCATATAAACATAGGTTTTAAGTATTATACTAAACTGGAAAAGAATTTACCCCAGCGAGTCTTTAACTTTACTGAATAATAGTTCACAAACTGTTCAATTGTGTTAGACATTAAATACCTTGTCACAATTTTCTAGGACTTGATTCGGCTCGTGTAGTTTAAGGAAGCACATGGCTAAATTCAGGTGTGCGGCCAATTGCAAGGTGGTTGCCTTCTCTTGGTCTTCCTCCGACAACCCAGATTCATGTTCCAGCCACGACACGATCCTTTTGTACTGCACCGACGCCTGCTTGTACTTTCCCTCCTGAAGCACAGAAGTTCATCAGAGAACACGAAAAGGTGCCACGACTTGAGGAGAATCTTCAAAGCCGTGGGCTTTTTAAGGGGCCTTACCGCTCACCTTAAAATACTGGGTTCCCTTGTCTTTGACAATGCGGCTCTGCTCCAGCTTCTCGGCTGTGTTCATCTCCCACGATTCCTTAGCCTAACAAAAAAAAATAAAAAAAACATGAATCGCAAAAAAGGTGCAACACACAAGTGACGCGCAGTCAGAAAACTAAAGCCTAGTTGTGTTCATCGGATCAGTTTACCTTCTCAAAAGCCGTCAGCTTGATTTTGTATTGGAGTGTTGCTCCGCCAGGAATGTTGTACTTGGCACTGCCTTCATTCCCAAAGCCATATCTACAAATCAGGAAAAAAAAGAAAAGAATTATTGCTCTTGGTATGAGAGTGCGGTCTAAAGAAAGACAGCATTGCAAAAGATAGAATACTTTGATTTCCACCAACATACTACGTACTATTAACACTACAATTGTCTTATTGCCCTCAAGTTGCATAATTCTTTTACTTAGAAATCCTGTTATACATTCTGCTGAAAGCAAGCCCAATAGAATGTAACAATTCAGTTTGAGCTAAGTAAAACAAACGAATGATAAGAAGAAAATGCATTCAAACACTGTATATTGGATCATACTTGGGCTTAATATAGAAGAGGGCCTCCTCTTCCTGCTCCATAACCATGATCGCCTTCTCAACGCCGACCGGGAAGCCCAGGCCCTCACCATCGCCGAGCTCAAACTTTAGCTCTCTCTCATCAAACACTCGTCCCTCGCAGGAACCCACGACAGTTACTGAACGGGGTTAAAAAATATATATAATTCAGATATGTGGGACTTGGGTCGACGTGGCGCAAGAGTAGAGAGGGTACGCCGGGAACCGCAAGGTTGGCAGTTCGAACCCCGGCTGCTCCATGTCGAAGTGTCCCTGAGCAAGACACCTGACCCCTAATTGCTCCCCGGGAAAAAATGTAAAAAGCCAAGGGTTAAAAATGTAATGCAAGTCGCTTTGGATAAAAGCGTCAGCTGAATTCAACACATGCGCATTTCTTTCTGATATGGACGTAGACTGAATTTGTTTCCCGTTGTTACAATGGACTGCAGTAAGTGCCAGCGTTCATGGTAGTGTAAAAATAAGCTAAATTCTTCAAATAGTAACGTATATGCTCATGTGTTAGAAACACAAATTCCTGCCAAACGTGAGTTATCGGTCCTCACTTTGGGAGCAGAAGCGTGCATTGTTTTGCGTGTTGCAGCACGTACCGCAGGGATACACAGGCGGTTCATTTCAAACCAGCAAGTCCAGTTTATGCTAATTTCAGTATGGATTTTTGTAGATTGTGAATGTTGATGTCTGCAGTACAATTTGCTCTTTGTCTCAGTGCTTGTGAGGTGAAGAGAAAACGTGGCAATGATGCATCATCCCAGCTACCACGTATATTACCATAACTTTTTAATGGTAATAAAAAATACATGGCGACTCTGGCCTCTGCAGGAAGGATGAAAGTAAATGTGTAGATCCACTTTTAGAGCCTACACTAGGTGAATGTTTCAAACTCGGAAGATATATTTTGGGTTCATCACATGGGCATCAAACAGGTCAACCTGTATCAGCTTACCACGATCTACCATTACCTACCGGCCTTAATGTAACCAATTTTTGTAAATAAATGTATGACTTAATCTGATCACAAACAAAAACAACATATTGACTCGTTGGTTGACGCTTAGGAAAGTAGACTACCATTTCCATTTCTAAATAAATGACACCGATTAACATCATCAGATACATTATTACAAACAGTAAAATTTCACGTTTTCAACTTTAGCAAAGAAACAGTCGTGCGCATTACCGTCAACAGAAGCGCCTTCATTGGGCTTGGAATATCCCTGCCCTTTAGTGATAATGCGACGGACGATCCCACCGTCCTCATCCTCCGTTATGTCCTCGCCTCGAAATCCATACAGTTCCACCTACAAGTGTGCAGGAGGATAAACGATTATTTGACACACCCATAAGGTATCATGACAGCAGGTAACTCACTTCGGCATAGGACGGCCAGTCAATGTCACCCGATATCCCAGACACTGACCTCAAAAACTAGTGTAGCATGGGGGGGTATTTTGGGGGGACTGCCTGCAGATCCATAAGCGTACTCGGGCTTACAGATGAGTTGGCTCAGCTCCCCCACTTTCATGGAGGCTATACCGATGTCCCATGCCTTTATCACTTGACCTAAAAAACAACAACAAAAGAAGACGGATTACCCAAAAAGACGCCGTGCAAGTCGGGGGGGACCTCTCCGTTAGATGCCAGACGCACCTTTGCCCAACTCAAAGGAGAACTTCTCTCCTCGGTCTCTGCTCGAGTCAAACGGAGAGCCATCCAGAAGCGTGCCCACGTAATGCACGAAGACCTTGTCGCCGGTCATGGGCAGATCCGCGCCCGTTCCTTCCCTTTTCACCAGCTGCAGAAGCGAGAGGAATAGATGATTAAAAAAAGTCCTGGTATTTGTCATTCAGCGAAGCCTTCTAACCATTTTTGTGAATGAACGGGCGATGCTTTTGGCAATAAATGTTTCCTGATATATTTATATTAATATTTCATTAGCATGCATATATATATATTTTTGTGTGTGTGTGTTAGGAATACAGAAAGAAGCTCCAGAGGCTTCTAGACGCGGCTAATTATCCATAACTAGAGGCCGTTAAGCTACGTGAACAACGGAAGGAAGCGAGATGCGCAGCGCCGCGACGGGTGTCAACCACCGGCCTTCCGAACGCCAATTAAAGCGGGTTCGAGCCGCCCGGCTGACCGCGAGCCGCGGAGCCCGCTCACCTTTAACACGCCGCCGTCCTTCTTCGGCGTGATGTCCTCCCCCTCCATCGGGATGGCGTGCTGTCCTTCACTCGTCTGCTCCTCTGCAGTCATCGTCGCGGAGCGAAGATTTCACCCCTCCTCCTAATAACGTTACTCCTGCACCGACCAACAAAATGACAAATAAAATAAAATAACAAACAAATGAACGCTGGCTTCGGCGGCCACGGACGTTGACGGCATACTTCTGCAGCGAGACGGCAACTAACGTCGCGCTAGCTAGCTAACGTCCGTAGGTGCTAGCCGTACTTACTTGTGAATGCTATTGGGAGTAAAACAAATCTCTACACACGTTACAGCTCCCGGCGAGCTGCGAGAAGAACGTGCTATCCGTCGTGCACCGGTCACTCTTTAATCGGAGTGGAGTAAGAGCTTTTTTTTTGGGGGGGGGGTAGGTTACTTTCAGTCCACGCTTTACGTGCAGTGTGGCGACTGACAACCGCTAATAGAAGGGCAGAGAATTTTCCAGACACTCTAGGAGGATCTCAGGGGGCTGGACTCGCGTTGGGGGCGTTTCTCGCATAACGTACGCATCTCCCGAAAAGGCGGTGCACTTATAAAGCGCTTGAGAAAAATGCAAAATATGGCGATATATTAGTCCGCCACGTATATCTTTACTGCGTAAAGTGTTTAAATGGTGTGTGGTAGCTCAATGCCTCTGCGCTACAGGGCAGATGTGGGCCGTACGTGCAGATAGCACCGAACGCGCGAGCACGAAGTAAAGTTTGGCTTATCTCGCTCCCTATTGGTCGGAATCCGCCACTGCTGCTGCCTGTTGGCGCGGGAGTTTAACGTCGCCACAAGTCACATTCCGAAGAATATCAGAATATATATAATATTGATTCCAGCCAATTGGGGGGGGGGTTGATTATAAGTTAGCTAGTCGTGAATTTCCATTTCCCTACCAGCCCTACGACATCCAGGAGCAGTTCATGCAGGCTCTGTACGGTGTGCTTCAACAGGGCAAAGTGGGAATCTTTGAAAGCCCAACTGGAACGGTGTGTATGTTTCCACGTCTATAAGAGAGATTGGGTTTATTGATGCGTTTTGTATTTTTAATGTGTGTGTGTGTTCTTCAACACAGGGCAAGTATCTGAGTCTGATCTGTGGCGCGCTGAGCTGGCTCACAGACCACGAGCAGAGCCGACAGAAGGCAGCCGCCCTGCTGCACGAAGGACAATTGGTCCTTTCCACTTCTACCGCCGCGTCCTCCGCCGCCAGCGGCTCGGCGGAGCCCGACTGGATCACGGAGTTCGTTCAAAAAAAGGCAGAACGAGACTTCGTGTCAAAGTTGAAGGTGAGGTCGATCAACGCGCGTCAGGTGGATCCTCGGGAACTTTGGCATCTCACCTCCGTTGTTTGTTTGTGTGTCCAGGAAGACGAATTGAAAAGAAAGAAGAGGGAGGAACGCTTGGAAATCCGAAACAACGTTCAACTCAAGTATATGCAATGAAAAGAAAAGTAAGGGATCCTGAACGGTGACATTTCCAATCAAAGTAAGTCAAGTCCCTCCAACTTTATTTGTATTTGTATGCATCTCTAGAGTTCTGATGATGAAGAGGCATTCAAATTGCCTAAGCTCAGTAAGGAGGAAGACACCGAGACACAAGGCGATCAAGAGGACGAGGAGCTTGTCGTTGCAGAATATGAGAGTGATGACGAGTCAAAGACCAGGACCAGGTGAGCTGAGCCATTGATTACTGATCGGTAAGCAATCATCAAATGTTGTGACAGAGAATGACAGCGGCGGGTGTTTGCTCTCACGCTCAGATTCTGCGGCGCTGACGAGGACACGGACGACGAGCTGGTTGAAGAACACGTTAATAAGGTGTGTGATAGAGACGATTTAACAACTGTGAGGACGAGTGTCCCATTGATATAAACCATAATGATGAGGCCGGGGCACACTCTTATGTTCTTATGTGTCCCTACAACAAAGCTTCAGCACTGCAGCACATGAGGGACAACGTCCTGGAGACAGTCCACGATATCGAGCAGATGCTGAAGCTGGGCAGAGAGACACGTTCGTGTCCCTACTATGCCGCACGCCTGGCCGTTCCCCCTGCACAGGTGACGCTGTCCTCTCCCTACTGGCTCACTGAAGCCCCGTGCCTCGCGTCGTTGGAGGCGACTTGCTCGGCGCGCTGCCGATATCGCCCTTGTTCCAAAACTTCACAAAGGTTGTTTTTAATTTTTTGGTAAGCAGATTGGAGCATTGATTTCTAACCTGTGTGTTTGTGGCGTCTGCATAGTTGGGGGTCTTGCCCTATCTGATGTTGCTTCACGAAGCCACAAGGAGGGCAGCGGGGATCAAGCTGAAGGGACAGGTAGGATTATGTGTTTTAATCAGTTCTTTGTATCGCCATGGAAATAGCAGCAGAAATGTTTGAATATATATATTTTTATTTTTTCACAGGTGGTGATCATAGATAAAGCTCACAATCTTAGTGACACACTGTCCTGTATACACAGCGCAGAGCTAACTGGAGCGCAGGTTAAGAACATGTGTATCATATCATACACCTCGTGTACCCCTCATGTTCTCTGCATTACACTAACCTGTGAATCTGCTACAGCTTTGCCGCACCTACTCGCAGCTCGCCCAGTACGACGATCGCTACAAGTGAGTTTTTCACACCGACTCGAGATGCACCCGCACACCAATTCAATATTGTAATTGTGCAGTTTGGATGTCGAGGATGGTAAACACCTGGTGCTCCTGGTGTTGTGGGAACAACACCAGGAGCAGACTGAAGGCCAAGAACGTGATGTACATCAAACAGATTCTGTTTGCGATCGAGGGGCTTGTCCGGGCGCTGGGAGGTGAGTGCGTTTGAGTTCAAATGACTTCTGTGATTACGGATTACTGCCACTCTGCACCACGGTGGGGAGATTGCGTTGCGTTTCAGCCATTTATGTAAATGTGATCCCGGCAGGTAAAGTGGGGCAAAATCCACAGAGCCAGACTACACTAACAGGTTAGTGAATAATACGTGCATACACACACGATGCACCTCCAACAAGAATTGACAAACCCTTCGTGCATCTTTGTCTGTTAGGAACTGAACTGCACACCATCAACAACTTCCTATTCAAGGCTCAGATTGACAATATAAACTTGTTTAAGGTATTATAAAGTGTTATGTTGGTAAAAATTGAAATCATGTCTCCAAAAGGCAAACTCTGATTTCTTCAATGTCACTTCAGTTACAGAGATACTTTGAGAAGAGCACGATAAGCAGAAAAGTAAGCGTTTCATATTCACGTTTATATGTATTGATTTCCGCCTCAAACATATTGAGAGATCCTCCCGTAGGATCAAACAAATCCCACAAGAGTCTTCTGTGGGCTAGGAGGCTTCGTGGAGAAGTACGCAGGATCGGGCGTGAGTGTGCACACGCAGAGCCGCACCAACAAGGAGAACCGCTGCACAGAGAGACTGAACCGCTACCTTCAAACACTGCAGAGCACCCAAATCAACGAGCCAGGTCAGAGGGAGGATTGTGTCATGTGCACCGCAGACATGTTGCGTTGTGGTTGCAACATGAAGTAATTTACCAAATAAAACGCAGCTTAATTTCTGGAAACCTTGTGATGGGAGAAATGTATTTCCCTCTAAATTGTATTTTTCTTTTCTTTTTTTAACCTCCCATGTGTGTAGTTTCTTCAGCGGACCAGCAGGGGTCAGAGACGGAGAAAGCACTGGCCACGTCTCCCATGATGCAGGTGGAGGGTTTCTTCATGGCTCTCACCAACAGCAACGCCGATGGCAGTGTGTTGGTGCACAAGCAAGGTAAAGTAAAACAGTAAAAACAGAAATCCAAATAAAGATTTGTAAAAAAAAAAAAAAAATCCCCTCGCTGTATCACGTGCAGGTACTTTATCAGAGAGCAGCATCAAGTTCCTGCTGTTGAACCCAGCGGTCCACTTTGCCCAGGTGCTGAAACAGTGCAGAGCCGTCGTCATCGCGGGAGGAACCATGCAGCCTGTAAGTCGATTTTAATCCATTAAATCCATTGCTGTGTACGTTGTGTTATTCTGAAAGACGGCATATGTAGGTTTCAGACTTCAAACAAGAGTTACTGCTTTCTGCTGGAGTGGAGGAAGAGCGCATCACAGAGTTTTCCTGTGGTGAGTATTTATACGCAACAAAAAAGTCCTAATTCTTAGTTATGAGAGAATTGCATTGTGAGGTTATAGTACATGAAATATTGTTCTGTGATTATGTAAAATAATTGAATATGTTTGTGTTGTTAAATTCCCTTTGTCTGTAGGTCACGTCATTCCTCCCGAGAACATTCTTCCTCTCGTCTTGTGCAGCGGCCCTTCTGGTCAGGAGCTGGACTTTACTTTCCAAAATAGAGACTCCCCACGCATGGCAACTGACACACACACACTCACTACTTTATAAAGTTGTTTAATATCATTAAATGTGGGTGCGTAGTTTACGCGAGCGCCCTGCAAATGTTGTGCCCGGTCACAGATGGACGAAACGGGGCGCATCCTCTTCGACATCTGTAACGTGGTGCCGGGCGGAGTCGTGTGCTTCTTCCCTTCCTACGAGTACTCGAGGCGCATCGTTTCTCACTGGGAGGCCAGCAGTGCTCTGACTCGTTTGGCCAAAAAAGAAGGTACTTCCGCATCAACCTTCGCCCCGTGGAAAGGGAAACATTCAACTTCCCAAACTGTCTTTAAGCCGTCATAATCACTTCCTCAGATCTTCCAGGAGCCCAAGAAATCAAACCAGGTGGAGCAGCTGCTGAACGAGTTCTCCCGCTGTATCCAGGTAAAATGTCACTGCCTCTAGCAGCATTGTCAGCATTGATAATCGGTCGGTCAACAGCATTTTGCCCGAGTGTTGCTATGTTCTTGTCTCTTCTTTCCATTCGATTAGCGGTGCGCTGTGGATGCCGGAGGGTTCACGGGAGCTTTGCTGTTCTCTGTTGTCGGAGGAAAGATGAGCGAGGGCATCAATTTCTCAGACGACCTGGGCAGGTGTGTGTTTTTTTTTCCGTTAGCACGTCGACAGCTGGTAGTTGCACGTTACGTGTACGCAAAATGCTTTTCTCCGCGTGCGTCCGTGTCGTCGCAGGTGTGTGGTGATGGTGGGAATGCCGTATCCCAACATCAAATCTCCAGAGTTGCAGGAAAAGATGTCCTAACTGGACAAACACCTGGTGAGACCGCTGACTGTTCCAATAGGCTTTTGCTGTCCAGAGACCTGCCGAAACAAGTTTGAGGTTTAAGGCGCGTGTGTTTGCTTTTCAGCCTCACAGTGGAGGGAGAAGGCCTGGACAAGCACTCATAGAGAACCTCTGCATGAAGGCCATCAATCAATCCATAGGTAGTGTTGCGATATTCATGCGCCGCTGTTAATAAGTACGGACTTGATTGTAATCGTTTACTCGATCTCTCCGAAGGACGAGCTATTCGTCACCTTGGAGACTATTCCTGCATCGTGATGTGTGACCGACGCTACGCTGGACCCGCTACGCTGGCTAAACTCCCAACGTGGATCAAAAATCGCACGAGCACGCATACCACCTTTGGCCCTGCTTTTGCTGCTCTGCGGAAGGTGAGGAGCAAATCCGCTCATGAAATCCGCAGTCAAACATTTCTACTGCGTCATGACACAATGTACTCATGTGTTGTCTGTATGTTCTTCATTCCTAGTTCTTCCTGGAGAAGAAGCACAAGCAAGTGTAGCGTCACTTACACAGTACTCCACCAACATTTCCAAAGACCGAGGTTCTGGAGAACTTTGAGGAAAGGCGAGTGGCACTGTGGTTATGTGCAAATGTAGTCTGCTTCAGCCCCTTTCATTCGTCGTTCAGCCCCTTTTCATTCGTCTTCACGTTCATTCGTCTTCACGTTCTTTAACATTTTGAAGCTGTTGGACCTCTTAGTGCTCCTGGCTGTAGTTTGCATATGTTTTCTACTTTGTACGTTCTACCTTGACTTGTTGATAGAAATGAGACACATAAAGTCCCACTGATGTCAAAAGGTTTTTTATCAGATTGAAACAATACATCAGTCCTGCAATGTCTTAGAATTTAGTCTGGAACAGATATTTTTAAATGAATAACTGAAGCAGCTTCTCCAAAGACATCAGACACAGCGATGACATCCTTGTAACTAATTTAGCCTTGAAGAATATGTTAAATATTTAATGCATTTTATTCTGTTATGTAATGCAAAAAAAGGACTATGCAAGATGTTAGTAAAATGGTTTCAGTGCATTCAGTCTTAACACTTGTATAATTTAATATTGTACAATACATCATTATCAATAAAAATGTTGATTATTGGATTTTTAGGGATGTTTTGTTGAACAGGTGGGACAAACCAAAGGACTTATAACGAATGTTTGTTCACTGTGCAAAACTGTTGACTGAGTAAGGGCCAGTGTGTAACATGTTAACACGTATGTTATCACTGTTGAATGATCCCCTGAAAAGAGGAACCTATTTTCATTACCGTGGAATGAGCTCTTCCATCCTCTTCATTGCGCTCATTAGCATCATCATATCATTTCTACGGTTATGCCTCCCAGTCATCGTCGTCTGTTGTCACATGAGGAGAAGGAAGCGGTGGGATGACATCAGACATCCTGGCAAATGCACCACCAGTACCAGCTGGCGTTTTGCCCGGCTCGCCAGCAGCTGGATCCTTCCCAGAAATGCCTGCAGAGGGAACAGGAGGCATTATTTAGTGCATGCGGTTCCAACCTCATTTAGTTCAACGCAAGAAAAATCTTTACCTTTCCTCCGCATGGAGAGTTTGTTGAAGAGATCAGACATAAAGTCTCCACTACTAGATGCAGCGCCCACTGCTGTGAGACAAAGACAGGCCGTCACTACATGATCACACACAAAGGGAGCCGTGAAAGGGTTTCAATCATTCACCAGAAGCTGCGCTTCGGAGCCCATAAATACGACTGTTTGGTCTGCTTAGTCGGTATCAGCAGCTCTAAATATCAAACGTTAAGTTTTCACCTTACAAGATGAGCTTTCTGATATATTAGATTTCAAGAAAATTTAAAATACTACTTTAACCGTGTCAACCTTTCAGTGTAAGTTGCCATTTATTAAGTGAAGGGGACAAAGACGTGGACCAGGATGATAACCATGAGGCATAAACACAAACGCTCACAAACTGACATGCAGTGAAACACATTGAATAAACGTGAAAGCTAACTAGGACTTGGTCCTGCTGTGCTTTGACTGCATGTACGTCTCACCCTTTGCTAAAGCTCACGGTTAATGAAAGACTAGCAGAAGCACATTTCAAACGATCGGACACCTTGCTCTTGCTCCTTCTGTTTCTTCTTCTCCATCTTGCGCTCTTTGACGTTGCGTAACTGGGCCTTGCCGATGCCGCCGGCATTGCGGATGGACTCCAGGAGATTGGCACGGCCGTCCGACGGCTCAGACACGGGGCCTGCAGAGAGACGGCACGGGGTCACGGGGTTGATTTAAGCGCCATAGCTCTCAATAAGAGTGAACAGGGTTCCTCTGTGTTAAGAGTTACACCGGCTTTAATACACTTTAAACCTCCATCACATTCCACCAAGTCTTTAGCATGCAGCCAGAACACAGTTTGCGCCTGCCACAAACCTGAGTTTGACGCCTGAGGGACCCGCGTGGGGCTGTCAAGGGGAGGTGGGGGAGGCCGAGGGGGAGGAGGAGGAGGTGGTCCTGCAGGAATGGCAGGAGCGAGGGCAGGCTCGGGAGGAGGGGGGGGAGGTGGTGGAGGAGGTGGAACCATGGGTTGGAGCTGAGAGGCTGAAAGACAAGGAGATGAAAAGTCAACATGAGCTTGTCAAACACAGTATTAACCCAAATTGTGTGTGTGTGTGTTTGTACCATGTGCATCGCTCTCCTCTGCGAAAGTGGGCAGATCAGGGATAATGTGTGTGGGTCCTGATGGGGCAAAGCCGGGTCCGAGGTCTGCGCTGTAGGAGAGGTCGTCTGCGATGCCTGGAAGGTCAGGCAGGTAAGATGGCACATCTATTTCGGGCACCTGACCCAGGTCTGGCACATAGAAATAAGACTCTGCCGTCTGATGGAGAGAAAAGGATTAGATCAGAGACTGTCACTGCATCGTCAGTGGTTTATTAGCAATGCTTCAAAAAGAATGATCAAATTAAAGATGTGTTTTGGTTGGAGGAGGGTGTTTGACGTACCTGTCTATCCAACTGTTCCCTCTTTGTGATGGACAACGGCGCATCAAACGGCTTCTCTTCTTTCTCCGTCTCTAGTGTTCTGTGTGTTTTTGTCACGGCTCCGGCCAGAGGATCGAGGAACACATATTTCTTATATCTTCAAAAGCACCCAAATATGAAGAAGAAATTAAGATCATTTGTGTGAACACTTATCATCTCTGTCTGTCTCTTTGGTTGAGAGTGTTTGTGTGGACTCACAGGTTCTCTGTAGTATTAAAGAGCAACAGTGAGCTGACAGACGAAATGTTGCGTGGCAGACTGCCAAGTCCCTCCTCTGTCTCATCCTCAGACTTCTTCTTTTTGCTCACACACACTGGGAAATACATCAATTTCTCCTGAAAGGAAGACACGCGCACGGAGCGAAAGGCAGATCTGTAAAATGTCAACTAAATCTCAGATAACACAAATCACAAATGCCACCAAAGTGCTCCCACATGCAAATGCATGCACGGGCCATTGCTTATGGGGGGGTTTAAATAATGCATTTCTGCCCCAAAGAAAGAAAAGTAGTCACAGTCAGTGTTTTCATTTCTCCATGTTAACCCTCTCTGACGACACAAAAAAAGGAAGAGATTCTCGATACCAAGCCGACACTGCAGAAAATACGCAGTTTTTTGTAAAGTTCCCTAAAGTGGTAATGGCAGAACATGGTGTTCACAATAAATAATGCAGGACGCTCTGCTGAGCTAAGCACACAAACGTGAACGCAGACAGAGGGACACCAAACCACTCATGAACTATTATACAATTTGTTTTGATTTGTTCTCTTCTGCCATTCTGTAGATCAATGTAATTTCATTAAATGGATGTCAGCTGGTTATTTAAATCGGAAGTTTGAAAAATCAACAGTGACGCGGATGGAAGCGCGAGGAACCGCGAGGAACCGCGAGGAACCGCGATGCTCACCGCTCACAGGAAAATATGTGAAATACATGCCGGGGTGCAGAGAGGAAGCTGGGAGACGGATTCTGGCCAATGGCCACGGGGCAGAGAACAAGCTCTCAACTCCTGTATAAATACTGAGGAGGTCACGGGGGGGAGGGGTTTCCCCCCCACAGTCTCCTTAAATACAGAGGAGTAGAAACCAACTCCAAGTACTACTGTCCTCGTATATCTGGAGTGACAACTGCGTCGTGATTCTCAGGAGGATAAAAGCCACGTAAAATGGCAATAAATCGTGGTTCTTTCTAGCCTTTTTTTTCAAACCACAGTTTTAGCACTGTCAGTCGTATAGAGACGCCCCAAATGTATCCATCTCTTTTACATTAGTTACAGTACTGTGGCTCAAAGACTCAGGACACTTTGGGAAACCATGGCTCTCTTAACAAGTCCATATTTATGTGAGAAAAATTGTTGTGTATTTATCTCACCTGCAAAGCCGTCTCATCAAAGGGTTGAAGTTTATTCTGTATCCTATGTCGGGGGCGAGTTTGTGAGGAGGGGTCTGTAGCCTCAATAAAAATAGACGAGTAATCCCGAAGGCGATCTGGAGCCGGGTACTTTGCGCTGGAGAAAACCTGTACACACAGAAAAGTGCTGATATAAATGACAGACACTGGGCTAATTATGCTTTCGATGATCTTTGATGGTCCTTAAGTGCAAAGTAAAAAAATCATCCTGCCAAATTGGAGGTGCTGTGTTACCTTGGTGGCCTTCTTACTGCCTTTGATCTTGTCGACGCGGGCCTGAGCCAGTCTGATCCTGTCAGTAACACTCTGCAGCTGGCGCCGGTTCTTCTCCACACTGTCGGACACCCTGGACGCAATACACACACACACACTCTGACATCAATATGGACGTCTACTCACAGTTCACAATATTTCTGAGACCATGTCATACAATTCAATTGGGATGAGTGGGCAACTTCTTAATGACCTAAGAGACCCGATTCCAAATGTCTTTCTTCATATGCACATTGCGGGTCTCTTAAAATCAGGAATAAAGATAAAAGTATAACACAGCTGTTTCTGAAATCAAGTAATCATTTTATATGTATCATCCAATGACTAACACAGCAAAATAATTCTGTTGAGAAATTAAATGTCACTTATTTCATTTCTAAGTTACAGTAGAGGCTTCCTCTATCTTCAGCGTTCCAGACAGGACCATCTGCTTGGAAACAGATGCTGTGGCATCAAACGTGCCTTAGAATATGGATTTGACTGCTCAATCCATTGAATAAGATGGTATTTAATGCCAATTATACTTGAACAGATGCTTTGTCATCAACAACCTTTTTGATTGAAGTTAAACTTTTATTTGTTACGTGCTTTTGTCTGCTGTATCCTGGTAGTGACAATGCTCACGCAGCACTTTTTACTTTATTGAAAGAGAAAATGAAAGAATCATTCTAAAAATAATTAGAACTATGAATACTAAAATAGTTGTACCGCCACTATTCATTTCAGAATTATTTTATCTCTTAACCATAATACAGGTATCTATTTTAGTAAAATATCAAAAATAATAATAATAGTATTTAGTCTATTAGAAGTTATAATCAAGGCAATGCAGGCAAAACTGCTGAATATTTGAATAACTGTTATCACTACAATTGATCATTTGTTTAATTTCTTATGACAAATTAATTAATCAGCAAATTGCTTTTACACAACTAGAGCAAGATGCATCCCATGGTAATGTGATTATAAAATGATATTAAATCACACAAGTAGTACTCGGGAATTGGTTGTCTTGTGTCCCTTCAAACCTCCAGCTCTTGTGTCTGCCGTCTTGTTTGTTTATACAGGGGGACAAAACGGCCTTTTCCCTACTGTAAAACATCACATTGCAGGGTGACGACCCGGTGAAGGTCAGGGGTTAGAATCGGGCTGGCAGCGGTAAAGGTCAGGCTTCTCATACACAGTCTTTGGAGGTAGTGTACGTCTTCAGGTAAATGTTCCCATACGTTATGGAAGCCACACTCTTTGTTCTGTGTGTGTCTGTGTGTGGCCTTGCCTTCTGAAAATATCCGTAGAAATGGTCTCCAGGTAGAGTAATGCATCCGCTATCTGATGGACAGCCTCCTCTCTCCTCAGGTCCGACTGGATGAGAGGCACAGAGTAAACCTGTCCCTCCAGGCACTGCTTCTGGCTCATCCTGATACACAACAACACGGTTTAGAAATGAAGAGCAAAGTTCACCACACCGGTCACTCAGACCTGGAGAGACAGGTGTGTGTTATTGATAGTCCAAGGGACAACTCGGACAACTCTTTCACAGTGATGCTGATTGACAGCTCCAGCATCACACAGCTTTCGTAAGGTTGAGACCCAGTAGCTCAAGCTGACCCTCATGTGACTGTCACGTGACCGTCCTGGAATAGAGCTGGTTTGGGTTTCACTGTGCAAATTGGCTAGTAGCTCTCTGTCTATGGTCAAAGAAGCCCTTACTATTACTGTGTAAATTCCATAACCTGCGTTATACGTGGTTTTAATGTAACTCAACTATGGGGATCGACAATCAACGGAAACCCTGTCCGTGTTAAAGAAAGATTTGCCGCGAGCCTTCGATCGAACAATTCTCCTCCAATTAATTAATTACGAATACGACAGACTAAACAACATGCAGTCGGCTTACATAACCATGGGTCTGGTTTACTGGTTGACGGCTGCAGAAAGAATCAACGTCAGCAAGGCGATCCGTGCTAGCATCCGACCCCAAATGATTAGCAAACAGACAGCGAAGCAACGGTTCTCTACTTCCGCATATATGTGGCACGTGACCGCAATGAGGATGGCGTGTTGCCTTCACGCTCAATCAGTCATTTCTTACTCGAAACACGTGAATAATAATAATGATGTGAGTTATTGGATAATGTTTATGGGAGGCCTATCTGATTTATATAAATATGTGAATATAATTGGGTTTTTAGATTGAGATAAATCGCCGGCAGTTAAAACGCACTTGCTTTTGAAAGGGTTTCTGTGTTAAACAAGAGACAAGTTATTGCCATGGTACACGATATAATGTGGTTTCAAATAGCGTGCATCCAAAACGTGGTATGGCAGAATGATGACATCTCTTTTAACTTATTAAATAATACGTTTATTTTTTTTAGTTCCACATATGCCTCCTCTTATGTATTAATCAATGCATATCTTTCTTCTAACAACACTTTAGTCTTAAAACTGTCTCACTGTCTCTCCCTCGCTCGCTCTCCCTCGTTATACGTGGACGATCATTTGTGCATAAGGATGGCGTGGAGCAGTAATTACAAATAGTCCGATGTTATGTGCAGTAGCCTTCAACCAGGAATATGGCTCGGATGTGGAACTTCCGTGAACGGCCTGTAGGGCGCGTGCTTGCTCTCTCGCTCTCTCATTGCAAGTGCGTTATGACGCATCCGCCTGCCATCGCCTCGCCTCCTCCCTGCTGTCACATCTGGACCTCGCTCCTCTCATCAGCAACACTCAGCGCAGTGGGAGAGAGAAAAAGAGTGAGGAAGAGAAAGACAGAGAGGGGGGAGGGAAGCGACCGGAGGAGCAGAGCCTTGCTCGGTCGCTGCAGCTTCATCCAGTGCCGAGCAGAATTAAGGGGAGGATAGCGCAAGGACACCTAATCTTCTCAGACGCGTTCACGGATATTTTGCATCTCCTCAGTCCTCCGTCCGTCAGTCCAGCTGTTTTCTTCGGCTTCTCTTCCCTCCTCCTGTCTTGGGTATGATGATGAGCACCAGCCTCCTGGAAAATCCGGTGCAGGCGATTCTGTACCTGCGAGAGCTCACCACCATCGTCCAGAACCAGCAGAGCCTCATCCAGACCCAGCGCTCCCGGATAGAGGAGCTGGACCGGCGGGTGGACGAGCTCATTGGCGAGAACAGGCACCTGCGGGACGTCAGGGTTCAACAGCAGCATCCTTACCATCACCACTACCACCATCACCCGGACCCCAGCTGCTTCCATCAACACCACCACCCTCAGGACCCGCAGCTCAAGACCAGTGCGGAGTCTCTCCTGGAACACAGCGCGGCATCAACCCCCGTAAAGGCGACTTCGGAGGTCCAGCAGCTATCCTCCCAACCCATGGACCCTGGGGACATGCAGCTGGTTCCGGCCGACCTGTCCACGGTCTCCCCAGTTGACAGTGAACCAGAAAACGGCGGAAGTTCCCAAAGCTGCCGCACTTTGGTTCCAATGACCCCCACGGCCCTTTGTCATTCCCTGGCCCTGTCAAGGAAATCCGAGTGAGTAGAATATATCGGTTGCATTTATATCCGTCCTAAAATAGTCAACTTGAGTACGGCATGCAGGCAGTTCAGAAGGTTGGGCTTTCTATATAAAAAACTCCTGTGCTAATGCATTTCCTCCGGTATCGACCGATAGCACTAATCCGTTTATTAAGCCTGTCTTTCATCCATCGTCGCTTTTGAGTGGCATCCTTCTAAAACTGTATAATTCTGAGCGTGCACGCGCGCACGTGCGTTTCCTGAAGACGGAGCGTTAAACACGGGCAAATTACTAATTTCTGTGGTTCCGTGACAGAGGACACATAAGGAGTATTTAAATGTGAAGTTGGATCACGAATGCTGGATCGTTACATAACAAACAGCTGTAGTAGGCCTATATATTAGCGTGTGCACGCGCGGGCGCATACGTGTGTGTGTGTGTGTGTGTGTGTGTGTGTGTGTGTGTGTGTGTGTGTGTGTGTGTGTGTGCGTGTGTATTTGTGTGCTAAAAACATAGGCGGTCACCGTCAGCTTGAAACAGGCGCAGCCTCACTCGCGATGAGACGCTATTGGTCGCTGTCCAAGGTCCTGCTGTTTTCTCTATTAATTACCGCACGGGATCTGTGAACTCTCACGGGACCTCTGGGCCTCTGATGTTACTGTGTTAGATGAGGCACACGTGCACAGTGTCAGTCAGACACACACACACGCACACACACACACACACACACACACACACACACACACACACACACACACACACACACACACACACACACACACACACACACCCCATCACCCCCTGCTTCGCACCAGAGCTTCATAGTACATCCACACGTCACCTAATGAGAGAAAATCCATCATTGTTGGAATGCATTAAACATTCCAAGTATTGTTCTTCAAATCTTTATTTCTTCATCTTCTATTTCTTCCGCGCGACCTGTCAACTCCTTCACACTTTCAGCTATTAAAACCGTTCAAATATTAAAATGTTCAGCTCCTTTCTGGCTTTAGGGCTATAGCTTTTCAGCTTTCCACCTCTTATGCTTGAATTTATATAAATCAATAATCATTAATATTTTAACATGGTTTTCCAATGGAGATTGTTTTCAAATCCTCTTAAACTCAACTTCCTGAAAGTCCTCAACTTTCAGACTTTTCAGCTCCGCCAATCTTTCAGCTACAGACACCATTTAAACTTTCAAATGTTGACACAGGTCTCAACTATTTTATGAAAAAAACTGCTTGTTGATATCTTTTGTACTTTTTTCATAATCACTGATTATGTTTCCCTAGTTCTTCGCTCCGTTTCTGACTTTTACATGAGTGTGTATTGCGTCTGCTAGAGGGGGACCTCGAGGGCTAGAGGGTGAAGCAGCGCAGAAATCTGGTTAAAAAAGTATGGAACTTCTGTCCTTGCAGCCAAAGTATACACTCTAGAGGCTTCATTTCTTCAGATTAATGAGGGCATGGTTGTGCTGATTGGATTAATGCGTTCATGGAATCCCAGAGTTCTTTAGTTTTTGCTTAAGGAGTGTTAGAGTGACACAACCTCTGCCAAAAGCCCCATAGGCTCCAATACAAATCTGCCAACATATTTCTCAAAAAATCCACAAGGTACACGTTTTGTCAACGGCCATAGGAGCCGTATTTATTACCGGACAGACATAAATAACACATCCACGCGTTCGGTAGAGTCTTGGGTCTCGAACAAACGCCGTATTTTTTAGATAGCTGTTATAGTTTTGCGCTGGTTCTCATTTGTTTGAGGTGTGGATTCTGTGTAACTTGCTGCCATGTCTCTGCCTTTTGCAGCAGCTCGTTAATGAGCACAGGTGCGTCGTTGTCGTGGTTACGAGCACTCACACGCTGCAGGATCTCTGTCTGTGGCTCACAGCTGCTCCTTGTGACCTGATTAGTGGAGTCACATGACGCAGCTATGCTTTCTGTCAACAGACCAATATGATAAAGACACTCGCCCCCCCTCCCCCCTCCACCCTGACCTCTTCTCACTGTTAATCACTCAGTCAGTATGTCTGTCTATTTCTCCTCCTCTCTCTCTCTCCCTCTATCTCTTCCTCACCACCCCTCTCTTCCTCACCCTCTCACCCTCCCTCCCTCTATCTACACCCCCCCACCCCACCCAATCCAATAATTACAAAATAAAAGCCCCATGGAGGGAATTTTTACTGTAATGTTTGTGATGAGGCCTATTAATTAAAAACTTCTTAGTTCGAATAACAAACATTCTGTCTCCCAACCCCCCCCCTCACCCAATTCCATCATTACAAACTAAAAGCCTCAATGATTATCTGTACCTTAACCATGAAGCTCAGAATGAAGCGGTTTCGTTGAAATACGTATTGCTCTTTCAAATACTACCACAACCACTACGAATATTACTAGTACTTCTAGTACTACAACTGATACGTCTACTACCATACTACTAGTATTTCTACTGCTATTAATACTACAACTACTAATGTTATTACAAATACTACAATGGCTAATAGTGTTAGTATTACAGCTGTTTCTACTGCTATTGATACTAAACCTACTGCTACTGCTAGTACTACTAATACCACAATTACAACTATAACTAATACTACTACTAATATTACTACAATTTTAAACCTAGTTTTATTCATCTCAGCTTTTGTCATTTCTGTATTTTTTTTATTCAGTAAAGCTCCTTCTTCTTTATTTATTAGAAAATCTATTGAAATTCAGCTTCCCCACTTCCTGTATTTTTAGCAGTTTTTAAAAATAATTTCTGCTTTTCCTATGCCTATGCGGGAGCACCGGTTTTCACTTGCATTTTTAGAGGAGTCACCTTCTTGTCATTGCCTATGGCGTACTGTGTGTGTGTGTGTGTGTGTGTGTGTGTGTGTGTGTGTGTGTGTTTGTGTGTGTGTGTGTGTGCATATGGTGGCTATTTACTTACTTGTGTGCTTTGCATTATGGTCATCTTGGTCAGTGCACAGGTTTGAGTCCTTTGAGTTGAGAGACAGAATCTTCTCCCCTCAGTGTCTGTCTTCCCACAGCTGAGCCTGCTATCTGGCCCACTTAGCCCATGGAGCGAACGGTAATCAGCCATTCTCAGGAGAGAGAAAGGCAGAGAGCTCGAAAGAGAGAGGGATGCATGTTCAGTCGTTGTCTTTGATGGAGCCCTTGAGGTGTCTGGAGGAAGGAGCTTCGAGGCTGACTTTGGAGTAGGCCAGTGAAAGGGGAAGGAGGTCGAAAGAGATGAGGGAGTAGGGGGGGCGTAGAAAGAGGCAATGACGGGTCTCTGTCCACAGAGACAAGTATGAGCAGAGACCAAACAAGCCATATAAAGGGCGCATTTGGGAAAGCTGTCTCCTCAATTCAGCAAAAAGATGGGTTGGACAACCGAGGGACAGTGGAAGGTGCATACAACGCGCCGGCAACGCTTTGAGTCCAAATAGAGCTGATCTTGTTTCATGTCGACCCTCCTCTTCCTTGCACTCTCTACCGGACGAAAGCATTGCGTTTAAAGTACTCTTACAAAACAGGACAGGGAGAGGGATGAGGGGTGAGGGAGGATGGGGCACAGAGAGAGAGAGAGAGAGAGAGAACACGTCCTGACAGCAAGAGGCATGTAGTGTTAAAATATTCACCTATTCACTCTCTCTCTCTCTCTTTATCTCTCCCTCTAAAGTTTGTTTTGTGATGCCCCTGCGTCAACCAGATAACCATCAGAATATATCCCCGAAATCTACATTATAGAGATGGTGAAAGACTGCCACGCTGCGTATATATATATATGGTCACTTAGTTTATACCTATATTTAAATAAAATGAACATGTAGTATAGCTTATGAAAATGAATTAATAATTTGTCTACGGATCAAAAGACTGAAAAGGAAAACATTAAATCTAACTGAGCAATGAAATGTGTTTGTAAGAGAAGAGCAAAATGAGACAGAACTTTGAAAGAAGCGCTGGTTATTTTTCAAAGATACTGAATCCGCTTATAATAACAAGTCGTAAAAGAAAGCTCGAGACCTGGCCTGGTGAAACAGCGTTTCTCAAAGTTCTAAGAGCAGAGTTGAGAACCACAGCAGCGGTGCTGCTAAATGGAGATCAAATGGTTCATGGACCTGTAGGCAAGGTGTGAAAGGTGTTGCACAGTGTGCTGATCAGAGGTATGTTTATTTAAAACATCAGCATCCTTTTGAATTTGCGGAAGTTGCCGTGAAACAGTAATCGCTTTTTATAGCTTGGAATGTCACCACGAGCCTCGCACAGACTCTGACTGCCTGTCACTGTGGCTCTGTGTCACGAGCAATATGCTGAGCTGAGCTCAGGTCCAAGCACAGAAGGAGAGATAATCCACTGACAACTTGATGCTTTCAGCTCATTGGGAAATGACCAAATGTGAACTACACTTTCATCAACTCCTATACAAAATATATGATACAATCTCTTTTGAAGTCATGAATATTCTTTTGAGAATGTTGCTGGCGGAAGATCTTGACGTGTCTTGTTTTCTTTCTATTTTAAAAAAATCTTTTCACTCCAAATTGCTCCGGATCAGAGTACCAGCAAGATGCTTAAAATATGAATGTAAATGTAAAATGTATGAGGGAGAAATGAGAGAGGCTAACTTAAGGAGAGACAGTACAGGAAACAGAGCTGGAGTGACCATCTGTCCTGATTGGGAATTCTGCTAAATCACAACAGACCTGATTGGATGGGAGGGAACATAGACAAGCTCATCCAGATACTCAAACTCACATTCAATCTAAGCATCCTCAGCCTTGAATTGACCTACATAGGGTATTTACCACCGGATCAGTGCCACATTGTAAACAGAGCCCATGGAAATAATCCAGAAGAGCATAACAGGAATCTTTTCATTGTCTTTTGGGATGTTGGACTAAGAAAGAACATAAGGAGGACTATGGAAACAAGGCAAACATCCAGCGCCGAGCCAATAACAACTGAATGACATGCTGTCCTTCTGATTCTGCCTGCTCTCCTCCCCCCTTTGCTTACCTACCCCCCCCCCCCCCCCCCTCCCCTCTCTCTCGTCTGCCCTTCAGGAGCGAGACCGTGCTGCACCAGTTTTGCTGCCCCGCCCCTGAACACCCAGAGGCTGACACCACAGGCTCATCCAGGTAAAACCGAGTCACCCGCCAATCACTGACACTCTCATGCCACTGTTTATCTTAGCAGTTCTTACTTTAACAGTATGGCCGGTCAACAATTGAAAGCCTTCTGTCTCTGTTTAAGTACAAACTGCATGCACATCTGTGTCCTCGTACGGGCTGCTCTGCACACGCTTGGCGTTACAGTGAGACAGTTAAACGCTCTGTATTAAGCCTATAGATTGTTCCGCTTCAATGGTGATTCGCACACATGGAGAGAGATAGAGAGAGAAAGAGAGAGAGAGAGAGAGGTGAGGTGAGGTAAATCAATATTGTAAATCGATATCTATAAAAGTGCCCATAGCAACCCTGTAATGACGCAACGTTAAGACTACCATAGTAACTAAGAAAAAAGGACTTTGAACCACTTTGGTCGTCTATTTCTGTGTGGGCAGCTCGTCTGTTTATTGTATGAGTTTGTTCATGTTTATCTTTTGTGTGAGGGCATGACCTTTCACTTGCTCACAAGCTCAGTTGTAAAACTCTGAAAAGCTGGATTTGTCATGTTTCTCAATGATTGCCCGAATTTAAGGTTTTGGCCGCCCTCCTCTAGAGTTTCTCCCATCGTTAAACCCTGTGTGCTACTAAATTCCCAATGGTGTCTTCTTAGTCTGTCTCTTCATTGTTGGAATGCATTAAGCATTCCAGGTATTGTTCTTCGAAACTTTATTCCGCCTTCTTCTATTTCTTCCGTCACACCTTTCAACTCCTTCACACTTTCAGCTATAAAAACCGTTCCAATATTAAAATATTCAACTCCTTTTCCGGCTTTCCAGCTATGACTTTTCAGCATTCTACCTTTTAAGCTTTAATTTATATAAATCAGTAATCATGAATATTTCTTCTAATGGTTTTCCTATGGAGATCGTGTTCAAATCCTCTTAAACTTCTTCAACTTTCAGATTTTTCAGCTTCACCAATCTTTCAGCTACAGACACCATTTCAACTTTCAGTCTCAACTGTTTTATGGAAAAAACTGCTTGTTGATATCCATTCTACTTTTTTCATAATCACTGATTATGTTTCACTAGTTCTTCACTCTGTTTCTGAGTTTAACATGAGCTGGAGATGCTAGAGTGTGGGGTAGCGTCAGAATCTGGTTAAAAAATATGGAACTTCGGTCCTCAGAGCCAAATACACTCTTGAGGCTTCATTTTTAGCTTAACGTGATGGCATGATTGTGCTGCTTGTAGTTATGTGGCTATGGAATCCCAGAGTTCTTTAGTTTGGCCTACGGAGACCAACAGTCACACAACCTCTGCTAAAAGCCCCATAGGCTCCAATACAAATCTGCCGACATATTTCTCAAAAAATCCAGAAGGTACACGTTTTGTAAACTGCGATAGGAGCCGTATTTATTACCGGACAGACATGAAAACTACATATCGGTAGAGTCTTGGGTCTCGTAAAAACGCATTTTTTAGATAGCTGTTATAGTTTTGCGCTAGTGGACACCTGTTTTAGGTGTGGATTCTGTGTAAAATCCGTTTACTCCGTCCGGTCTGTGATCAGCCCGCGAAAACAGCAGCTGCGCCGTCTCCATGACGACCACACAGGCTCGTTGCTGGCACTCACTCTCCCTTCCTTACGTAGACTGACAGACAAGCAGATCTACGGGGGGAGAACATGGCGCTAGCAAACACGGCGCTAGCTAGCATTTCACCAGCAATAACATGACCAAACGGCTGACAAGTGGCTCAAACAGCGTGCCAGCACTTACTCTCCCTTCCCTACGTAGACTGGCAAACACACAGGCCTACGTGGGAAGCAACATGGCGCTAGCTAACACGGCGCTGGCTAGCATAGCGCTAACATGGCGCTAGCTAACATTGCGCTAACATGGCGTTAGCTAACATTGCACAATCACTAACAGTACCAAGCGGCTGAAGAGTGGCTCAAACAGCGTGCCAGCACTTACTCTCCCTTCCCTACGTAGACTGGCAAACACACAGGCCTACGTGGGAAGCAACATGGCGCTAGCTAACATGGCGCTATGCTAGCTAACACGACGCTGGCTAGCATAGCGCTAACATGGCGCTAGCTAACATTGCACAATCACTAACAGTACCAAGCGGCTAAAGAGTGGCTCAAACAGCCAGTGAAAATCTCTCATGTCTTTAGATAGCTAGCTAGGCTGTCTTTGATGGCCTTTGTGGCACTGACTCATGCAGACATAATACTACCGGCATTTCTACTGCTAGACTTCAACAACTACTAATTTTACAACTAGTGGTATTACTACAAATGATACTATTACTCACTACTACTACTACTAGTATTTCTACTGCTATTAAAATGACTCCTAATAGTAGTACTAAAATACTACTTCTTCTAGTAGTGACTCTGCAACTGACACGACTAGGGAAAAGTACTACTAGTATTTCTACTGGTATTAATACTACAATTACTACTAATGTTACTACAAATACTATGACTAAAAATATTAGTATTCCAGCTGTTTCTACTGCTATTGATACTTAACCTACTATTACTACTTCTACTGCTAGTACTACTAATACCACGATTACTAACTACTGCTACTACTAATATTACTACAATCAGGATCAGGAAACATTTATTAACCAAAATATGTCAAACATACAAGGAATTTGTCTTGGCGGTTAGTGCGCGACAGTAGACAGACAAGACAACAGTGCACAAGTAATAAAATAAAGTGGAATGAAATGCTAATGCAATGGGTTAGTAGAATAAGGCTATGGGTTAGTATAAAACAAGGGAATAAAGTTAAAAAAATTTAAATATTAAAAAGTTAAAAAGAAAAATATTAAGCATAAAGTGCACTAACGAACAAGTAACAGACAAGAGACAAAGTGACAAGTGACAAAGTGATGAATTGCAGTTAAAGTGACATGTGCAGTGTGAGGGGGAGTGACCGGTGGAGTGTTATAGTCAGGCAGTGGGGGACCGGCTCTGTTGATGAGCCCGACTGCCGACGGGAAGAAAATGTTGGTGTGGCGGGAGGTCTTAGTCCTGATGGACCTCAGCCTCCTGCCAGATGGAAGGGGCACAAACAGGTTTTGTCCGGGGTGAGAGGGGTCGGCTACCATCTTTTTAGCTCGCTTCAGAGACCTGGAAGCGAACAAGTCCTGCAGGGACGGCAGATTGCAGCCGATCAGCCTCTCTGCAGAGCGGATGACACGCTGCAGCCTGCCCTTGTCCTTGGCTGTGGCTGCAGCGTACCAGGCGGTGATGGAGGAGCAGAGGATGGACTCCATGGTGGCCGTGTAGAAGTGGACCATCATCGTCTTTGGCAGGTTGAGTTTCTTCAGCTGCCTCAGGAAGAACAACCTCTGCTGAGCCTTCTTGGTGATGGAGCTGATGTTCAGCTCCCACTTGAGGTCCTGGGTGATGATGGGATTCCTTCCGTTTTCCTGGGTTCCTGGGCTCCAAAAAATGTAAAACCTCTTTTTATTCATCTCAGCTAGGGATGGGGCCGATCCGATCCAGTATCGGTATCGGGACCCGATACCAGAGAAATTCGGGTATCGGATTTTCCGATACAACCTTTGGAGATTTCCGATATCAATGAGCCATGTCTGCGCTTTAACGTCGTCTGCTGAAATGACTCCAAAAGTGATCCCCGCCTGCTAGTCTGCTGCAAACTGTGGAATGGATTTCCTGAGCGTGTCTCATAACTGTGTCTCACTGAGCCGCGCCTCCGTTCAGGAATCCATTCCACAGTTTGCAGCCAGCTAGCAGACTAGCAGGCTAGCGTGATAGCGCTGAGGCTAGACTGTTTAGCACGGCAGCAAATATCGTGGATGAAAAAAGGAATCGTCTAACTGCAGAGAGCAGAAATGCTCATATTCCTCAAGAAGAACCTGCCGATGTCAGATTTGTTGAACACTACATCACTTCCTCAGAGTCAACTTTGAGACATTCAAGTTTTGTTTTCTTTTAAAGAATAGTTAGACTCTGGTGTTTAGTTTATTACAGGTCATCTTAAGTGCTGTTCTGATGCACACTGTTTTAAAACTTATTAATTATTAAGTCTTTGACATTTGACATTCATAAATATTGAATAAAATATGACTTGAATAAATATTGACATGACAATCAATCTGAAACCCTTAGTTTCAAATTTGTTCTGTTAACAGGATTTCCTGTTTTTCAAACACAGCTCTGGTATCGGAATATTATCTGTATCGGCCGATATCCAAATTTAGGTATCGGGATCGGATCGGAAGTGAAAAAATGTGGATCGGTGCATCCCTAATCTCAGTTTTTGTCATTTCTGTATTTTTTAAAATTAATTTAAGCTCCTGCAACTTCTGTATTTTTTAGAAAATCTATTGAAATTCAGCTTCTCCCATTTCTGTATTTTCAGCAGTTCTTTCAAATAATTTCAGCTTTTATTATGCCTGTATTAACAGCAATGTTTTAATATTGATTTCTGTATTTATTTGCAATATTTCACATTCATTTCAGCTGTTTTCATTTCTGCTTTTTCAGCAAATCTATTAATTCCTTTCAGCTTCTCCCATTTATGTATTTTCAGCAATTTCAAATTAATTTCACCTTTTCTAATATCTGTAATTTCAGCAAATGTATTAAAATTCCCTTCAACGCTCTGTAATTTCAGCAGTTTTCTGAAGTTCATTTCATCTTTCAGTTTTTTGCATTCCAACGCATTTTCAGCAGGAAATGCATTTTCTAGTTTCCTCTAATATCTTCCACCTTGTGTTGTTTATTTCTATTTCTCATGCCTCCTCACCAAGCATGTCTCTCACTCTGTTTTTATTAATATCACTATCTGTTTGTCTGGAATCCCTCTCTGTCCTCTGATTTGATGACAGCTATCATCATCATAGAGCCGCAAAGTCACGATTGGACGAGCTAATGGCACAGCAGCAGTTTACGCCCACCTGAGATGATGGGGTTTAGATGAGCCCTGCATCCCCAAAGCTCATTATTATCATCACATGAAGTTGCGCCTGCCTTCTGGCTGCAGACTTGCTCCACCTCTACACCCTTGCTGTCATCCATTGAATCCATCAGAGCATGCAAACCTCCCAAGAGATGTCACGAGATCCGCCTCTAGTCTAACCTGCTGTGCCTGTTCTCTCCTGTGCATGCTCATGTGTATGTGAATGAGAGTGTGTGTGTGTGTGTTTCTTGCCAGGCTGTACAGAACTATAAATCTCTGAAAGACCCTGAGAGATGCAATTTGACACACTCTTTTCACTTCCACCGTGACGTCACATGACACAACTGGAGTGTGTGCTTGGTTCGTTTCTCGCTGCTGCATATGTGTGCATACGTGGTTGTGTGTGGGTGTGTGTGAGAAAGAGAGTACAGCTGCCACAGCATTATGGAGGCTTTTGCTGTCCAGATGCGTTAAGAGCGCAACTCTTGCTTTTAAATCCTCTAATGTATTCTAATGTACTGTAATGTATTCTGATGCAGCGCAGGGGCATGGCAGCATTTTAATATAGTTTTTGACAGAGACAGCCTCCAGCATGCACGTACCCAACACAGTATCTCTCTCCCTCTTTTTCCCTTCCAACTTTATTTCATTTAAAGATATGACGACGCATCTCTGGCAATATCTCTGACCTTTGGCTGGAGAACAGAGACAATTTGCTTTAACAGCAATCAAGGAAAACAAAGAGGGGCTTTAGTGGTGAGCTCATTATTTAATCATGAGCAGGCTTTTTAGTCTCCCCAGTTGGATTTAGCACTCTTCCTTTTGTTTATAACGGTAAGCATTACCTGTGGAAGAACGAAAGAAAGAAATAGTGAAGGAGTGGAAGGATTATGGTCCTAGCACAAGTCAACTTACATAAAAGCTTTCTTATGCACTTCATTTTCTTCATGAAACCTGCATTGCTGCCACAAACTTGACCAAACAGCACTTGACACATAAACACAGTAACCTTTGCCCCAAGCCGACTCAGCCGCACATCACGCTGTGCCGCTACCGCTGCTCTCATGAACCTCCTCGAAAAAACAGCTTGGCTGATGACCCGGACTGCAGAGACGGCAGAATTTTGAAGGTCAGCAGGGAGCACTAACAGCTTTCTGTTCTTATTTCCGTGGCAGTGGACAGATGCTCAGCCTGGAGGGCGGAACGTCCTGCGGTGGTGGACAGGAAGTGGAGGGGACCAAGAGAGAAGGGCCAAGCGAGTACGAAATCAGCCTTGAGAATAAGAACAAACAGGTATGTTTTTTTCAGATTTGTTTCCATTGTGTGTGTGTGTAACCACAAGTGAATCCTGACTCCTCTTCCACGAGGATTTGTTCATTGCACGATCATTTGGACGATCATTTGACAAAAAAAAGATTCAAATTCTATTTCTGTCTGTTGTGTTGACATGAAAAATAACACCAGCAATTCCACCGTCAAAGCCACAGCAACGCAAACTATGCTAGGTTGTCATGGTAACAGCTATTAACTGCTTCTTGCGGCTGGAGATGCCTTTATCTCTCGTACCAAATTGCTGAAGGGTCTGCGGTTGCTGCTGATATCGCTGCTGCTGTGTTAGTGCGTATATGCGTGTCTCTGTTTGTGAACAGGTGCACATGCACCTTTTGTGGACATGCTGTGTAAGAAGACACACACACACACACACACACTGGCACATGTGTGGCTGTCCGCCTTTTTCTCCCTCTGTGTCATCTTCCCTCGTCTCCAACCCTTCTGCTGAAAATGTATGAGGGCAAAATTCTGGAAGGGGCTGAGCTTTTGGGCTAAGCTGCTCTGCCAATAAACGGAACAGAAATAGGCTTGTGCCGGTGTTTACTTTTCTATTCATTTTTGCAAAAATCACCTTTGTCACAGCCCATCCATCCTCCTGCCCATGGCCCTTCAGGCATTATTAACAGTTGAACGATGATGGATGATGTTTACTTTGGCTCTATAAACGCCATAAACCCTCAGAGATTATAAAAGAGTGTACAGAAAAGTAAGAAGGATACTTCTTAGAAGATAGAAGTGTAAGTGTCCTGACTCATGACTCAGGCAATGCTTAAATTCGCTTGACTCTTTTTTAGACATGGGTACAATATGACATTATGATATTTGCCTGCTGGTGGATGAATAAACACTCAGTGGCTGCTATGTGCTAAGCAATGACTCTCACACCGTCTTCAGGAACTTTGTAAACATGTTGGATATTTAAAATCACTCCCACCAACTCTCTTCTCCCATCCCCAGATAGATGAGCTGGAGCAGAAATATGGAGGGCATCTGATAGCGAGGCGGGCAGCCCGCCGTATCCAGACGGCCTTCCGTCAGTACCAGCTCAGCAAAAACTTCCAGAAGATTCGTAACTCTCTGTCGGAGAGCAAGCTGCCCCGTCGGATCTCCATGCGCCACCCGAGCCCTTCGGGCCGAAAGAGGAACACAGCCCAGAGACACAGTTACAGTCTGCATCCTGGAGGAGTACAGATTCCCTTACGCTCCAAAACTCCTCCTCCTCCCCCGTGTCGCTCCACCTCTCTCCCCGCTTCGCCTGCATCTGCCCCATCAGCTGGTGCCCCTCCTGCCGCTGTCCCACCTCAGACACCTGGACAAACACTCACACAGCTGGAAGACTGCTTCTCTGATCAGGTTTTTAGTTCACGATCCTGCAGTAAATAAAGAAAGAAAAAGGGTTTTGTTACAGTTCTTTTACCAGGCAGGCTAGCAGGATGCCTCCAGGAATGTCATTGTCAGCCAATTTCTGGACTATCTCTACAACTTCCAAGAAAAGTTAGCTGTCCTCAAAGTCAGAAGCATCTGATTAAGCTGCATACTGCAGCAGATCCACAGGAAATACCCAGAGGGTTGCTTCTTTTTATGATCCCTGACTTTTTGTACAACATGCATTTATCTGCTTAGAGAGCAATGCGTTGACTGGACGGAGTGCCGTGATAGATTGTTTGAATGTTTTAAATGTCCTTATCCCTTAGGTAGCCAACCATCACTGTTTATGTTCTTTCTCTAGTGCCAGAAATAGTCAGACCAAATTAGCAGAACTCACATTCTTAACTCATGTCCTAACCACATTAAATCATTACGTTTTAATGCACATTTTTTTCTATCATCAAATTTGCAGCTTCATTCTTTGGCACTGTCAATTGACGACGCCCTCCGTGGTTGGAGCCTGTCGGAAGGTGGAGATGGGAAGGGGCTACTGATGGACCCCGGGGCCCTTCGTGCAGCTGCTGAGAGTGCTTGTCTGCCCCGCAGTGCCAGCTCGCTGCTCATGGCCTTCAGGGATGTCACCGTTCACATCGACAGCAACAGCTCCTACACCATCTCCACCGCCACCACCACGACCACCACCTCCTTGGGCAATGCGGGCGGGGGACAACCTGGCAGCAGGAAGACTTCTGCGAGCGGGGTGGATGGAGGCGGAGATGGCAAGTTCGCAGAGGAGCCAGAGTTTCCTGCACCTCCTCCAAGTGAGGAGCTGGAAATGGCTGATGCAGGATCCAGGAGGGGCTCGGCAGTGGCAACTCTAGGAGGAGGAGGAGTAACAGAGGGAGTGATCGGCACAGACAGACTGGGGTCCACATCCACCTCTACCTCCACCTCCATCTCCACCTCAGCCCAGTCTAATCAGCAACCTGCTCAGATTTACACGCAGTACCAGCAGTACCATTATACTCATCCACAGCAGATCCCCGGGGGGCCGAGCCCAGAGGCCCTGCAGGCCCTGGTGGTCTCTCTGCCCAGGGACCACTGCCAGGATCCAGCCTCCTGCCGCTCCCCAACTCTATCCGCAGACACACACCGCAAACGCCTCTACCGCATAGGACTCAACCTCTTCAACGTGTGAGTAGGCAGCAACACACATACGCACAGACACACACACAGTGAATTATTTCTGCACCCTCTAGCAGTTCAGAGTACACCTATCACTGTTTGTGTTTAACAAATTTGCCCTGCAAAACGGATCTAAGAAGCTGCTCATTAGTGATTTTTTGGGGGGGAGCTGCATGTTTCATGCCACCTTGTAATGTCAATGAAAAAACAAGAGAGGAAGAGGGACAAAGACAGACAGAGAGATAGGGCTAATGCGGTTACAGAGGAGAGGCAGTCAAGGAGGTCGTGGACAATGTGAAAGCCTCTCGGTTTCTATAAAAAGAACTGCACTTAATATTCGTTATTACAAATGAAAATAAATGCACTCATATGCATCAGTGACAGTGGGTGAGATCCAGCAGTGCAGAGGAAACATGCACTCCTCTTTTCCCTCTTTCTCTTTCTGCTTCCTCTTACGCACACATTAATTTTCCCTTCATATACACACACACACACACACACACACACACACACACACACACACACACACACACACACACACACACACACACACACACTCACACACACACACACACACACACACACACACACACACACACACACACACACACACACACACACACACACACACACACACACACACACACACACACACACACACACACACACACACACACACACACATTAAGCGCCATCTCTCTTTTCTTTCTCACTCAGGTCCACACACCTATCGGCTTGAATGCACAAACACATCGCACACACGCTATTTAAGTCTTAACACAACCTGCTTTTTTTCTGCCGGCTAATTGCATTAGAAACCCAGAGAGAGGCATCCACTTCCTGATCACGCGTGGTTTCGTCCCAGACACCGCCATTGGAGTGGCTCACTTTCTGCTGCAGAGGAAAGGCCTGAGCAGACAGATGATTGGAGAGTTCTTGGGGAACAGCAAACTGCAATTCAACAGAGATGTCCTTGAGTGAGTTCTGATTATTCATGCAGTACGCATCACACACAGACACGTACGTGGTTGGGTTTCTGCACAAGTCCTGTCATTGAATTAAAGTATCTTTGAAACCCCAATGGCATCGAATCAGGTTTTACAAAATAATTCTAAATCAAGGTCCATCCTACGATATATTTCATACTTTCCAAACCCATGCCAAGATGACTTGATGACATCTTTAGGGTTATCCCTCGGACTTCATGCCACAGATTGCCTCATTATTGGTAGTCCTCATGACAATTAACCTGATCTTAATGTGTAATATTGGCGGAGTTCTAATAAGAACCAATTTTTTGTTGTCATGTGTTGACACACTTAAGTTGATCATGTAGACCTGTCTGTTATTATTTATTTTACCATTTACATTGTGAAAAAGGGCTGCTGAGCATCTGGACCAAAAACCCTGTTCAGATCTGATCAAATTAATCAATTTGTCTATTATTTATTTATGTATTATTTTTGTAAAATTAGGTATTTTAGTGGAAAATTATATTTAAAGCACTTCCCTTGACATAACAATCTAAACTCAAGGGCTATTTATAGCTGTTCTAGAGGTTTCCCTTACATGACAAGGTCCTCATTAGCAAGTTGATTTTGCTACATTGCTGCTATTTTAGAGATGTTCAAACTTTAAATTATTCAGAGCATCTCTAGAACTTCTCATTCGTGATGGCTTGAAAGTTAAAGACCAAATTTCCTTCAGGACCCTGGAAACATCAGTTAAAAAATACAAATCCCACCCCAAGGTTAATTTAATAGCTAATATGGCTTTCAGTGAACCTGTTTGTACCAGGGTCATAAAGGAAACGTTGCTCTTCATCACTAAAAAAGAGAGGACATAAAAAACTAATAAGAGACCTTGACTCTAACTTTATTGGATTCAGGTATTTAAAAATATCTAAAATAGAACTAGACGTTGGAACCTAACCAGACATAAACACGTGATAACATCCACACACACACACACACACACACACACACACACACACACACAGGCTTGTCATGTACCACTTGCATGCATAAATGCAACACATCCACGAAAACACGCATTTACTTAATGCTTTAACACTCACACTTTTTCAATCCAACCGGTGTAGACAGAGATCCACGATCGAAAAGGCTTTTTGCTGAGGTTGATGCAGAGACCGTAGAAATAGGTCACTGCATTGAACCGGGCACGCACACACATACAAGCTACACACCCTCACTTTCTTTAATACACACAGACACACATGCACGGGAAGAAACGAACGTTTGCACATAAATGCACGCGCACTTCTTCCATTGCCTCAGCCTGCCCTCAGCCTTTCATGTACCTCTCTTCTGCCCCTTTGCTCTTTGCATTTCATTATTTTACCCTCTCATCTCTTTCCTCCCCCTTATCTCCCACTGTCATCAGATCCCGTCTTCGCTATTGATGTTTGCAAGTGTGTGCGTGTGCAAACATGTTGTCTCTATGTGCGCCTTCCAGGTCAGTGCTTTTGAATTGGAGGTATGACTGTGAGGGGAAGATTTGCCCTCAGCACTTGGTTGCCCACAGTTTGATGTACATGCACACACTCGCTCTCTCACCTTCTCATTGCAGTGACAAACTGCAGCTAAATACAACTCTCTCCTTTCTCTCTGACTGTCTCGTAATAGCTGTGTTGTGGATGAGATGGATTTCTCAGGCATGGAGCTCGACGAAGCCCTCAGAAAGTTCCAGGCTCACGTTCGTGTTCAGGGAGAAGCACAGAAAGTGGAGAGACTCATCGAAGCCTTTAGGTGAGACTGTCAACTCGCTTACAACAAGCCCTGGCTGGCTAACAGGCTCTGGCATAATTTGTTTTCAATACAGTTCAACACAACAACAGTCCATCACATGACTTAGCGGAGCTGGTAAGGGCACTCTTAACCTTTTGAAATGCACAGAACCTTTGCCTTTGGCCATTTGTGCAACACATGTGGCCAGGCTCACATATTTTGCAATGAAATAGAAAAGTTTTTTAATGTTATTTTGTGGCCTGGGGGTAACACGCGTATCTAGAATCTAGTTTTACTGGTTATGCCAGCTCAATGTTGCAGGCTCTGATGAAACCAATGCTGTGTATCATTAGCAAATTACACCGATTGCCTGTAACCTTTGACTTAACTCAGCAGTGTTTGATTGTCAGCCCATCATTGCTATGATATGAGCTGCAGGCCATTAGTGGCACAAAATTACAAGCTCTTCTTCACATCTAATTCCCCTGGATGGCACTTTCTAACCAGACCAGGCTGCATGACACTTGTGTGTCCCTTTTCATCCGGAATCACTCATAATTATGTAAAAGTGCATGTTTGATGCTCATGGGGTTTTAGCTTAAGCTGATTTTGTGCTTATTGGATCTTGCCCTACAGTCACTAAATTGTAGGAGCCATTTAAAAAACACTTATTTTAACTCCGGGAGGACATGAGAGACCTACTGTAGCTTGCACGCTCTCTGTGGCCTTCCAGTTGACTTGGCCGTGCAGCTTTCCCTCTAACTAACTCCTATTGAGAAACAGGTCATTATAGTGCAATTTTAATTTCTGACTGGCAGGTCTTTGAGGCAGAAACAGGCAGAAGTTAGTAGACCAATTGGAGCTGCAATTGTCTCATTTGCCGCTGGCTGACACTGCCCTTGAAATGTCCCGGTAATGTCCCAAGATCGCTCCCAAAATGCTAAAAAATGGCCATGATTGTTTTATGTTTCAGAGTAATTGGTTGCAATGTCGCATACATTTAATGTTCCTCTTCTGATGTGCTGGGCTTTGCCTGAGGATTATTAACAATGTCTCCACCATGGGTTGATCCACTGCCCCTTTGAACTCACAAACCAAGATATCCTCCTGAACGGCAAGCCGGTTGTATAATTCAGTGTTACCGTAGAAAAAGTACTGCATGCTGATTTCTGCATCTATGATGTGTGGACTTTGTTTGAGCTGCTGACCTTCAGCTTGTCTTTTTGTGCTCTGCGGTCTCCTTTCTGTGTACCTGTCCTCTGTCACTTTGGCTCAAGCCCATTGGTTCATACTGAGGATTTAAACATTTAAGATTGAGTCTACAGCCACAACACTTCAGGAATCAGGAATTAGGAGCACTTATTACCATATATACCAATACGTTAGACATGCAAGGAATTTGACTTGGCGGTTGTGCATAACATCAGACTGTAAGACAACGGACAACAAGACAGATAAGACAACATAGTGCAATAAAAAAAAAGCTAAAAAAGTTTAAAAAATAAAGTGCACTAGAGAACAAGTGATAAAAAGTGGCTTTTCTGACAAATTTGAATGTTGATTTGATCTGAAAAGTCAGCGGATCACCTACTGAGGGGAAAATGAATGTCTGAACAATGTTAGTGAGGACATGTCAGCCTGTAAAGTGCTAGACTGGCCCTCAGATGGACTTTGTCATCATAAGAGACATCAGCTAATGCAAAGGTTCAAAAAACATTGCTCTGACAGGAATATATAGCACATATGTTGAGGACTATTTTCAACTGCGGATTAGTGCTAATTTATTGCTCCAGTTAGTATTTATAGCAGCAAAACGGATTATTTAGGATTGACTCAAAATAAATTCTAGGTCTATCCTAATGCAACTTAACTGCAAATGTGTGGCAAATTGATGCGTTTTAATAGCTGTAGCAGGCTGTAGAATCATAAGCAATACCTGATTACAGGCAAGTTAGAGGTAAGAGAGGAAATGAGCAGACATGACACATCCCCTCTCTGCTTCTGATTTGAGGGCCAATCAGAACACCCACCGAGGTCATCAGCTAATCACAACTCACTCAATCATATGTGCCGAGCCTCCTGGGTGCAGATTACAAATTCATCAGCGATCTGAGGCCACACTTTCTCTAGCTAAGAACTGTGAGTACAGGTCAGATAATAGTGGGCTTTCATTGGGGCGGCCAGACATCCGATGACAAGTCTGTTACGTAACAGTTGTTATGTCATCTGTTTGAACGTGTTGTACTCTTGATGTGAGTAGTTCTTTAATACGAATTGGAATTTGTGCCAGCTGGCATGCAACATTCGTATGAAGATATGAAGACAAGATATCTGGAGCTTGTTTGAATAAGCAGGTTATGTAAGACGGAGATCCGTGCTTGAAGAAATCTGTGAATGAAGCACAAATAAACACAAATGCATAGACATAACCACAGCTTTATTTATTCACTTGAAATGTTTGCTCTCATGTGCATTACACATCCATGCACATCCGTCCATAAGCTCTCACACTTGCGCAGTAGATCTTTCATCGCTTTCAGTCTTGGATGAATTGGCTGCAGTATTACATCAAAATGGCAAATCAGGAGGCTCATCTCTGCCCCTGTGTGTCTACGTATGTGCATATTACATGTGTAGCAGTGTTTGAGCTGTTGGGTTCAAAAATGAAGAAACGCCGGACGGACAGAGGTCATCGCTGATCAAAAGGTTAAAATCAAATGTATTTAATAAAGGAGATGGTGTTGTGGTAAAAAGAACATCTCAGCTGAGGAGCCGCTGGTCTCAGCGACCAACAGGCCCCAGGTCAGTCCTTTGACCCCCATAGTGCCCGTCTGTCGTCTCCACCAGTGAACTCCAGAACAATGGTTCCTACAGGTATTTATAACAATGCTTAAAGGTGTGAAAGTCAGTGTCCACACCTCTGGGAGTCTTCTGGTGAGTTCAGTGTAACTCGGATTTTGAATGATCCTCAGTCAATATCAGTTGTTGTGCAAGTATTACATGCATGCATTCCAGTTGATTACATTACATCAAATACAATCATAACTGCATTGATATTATTCTACTACAGTGCAGAATTACAGTGGTTTTACAATATTGTCATTACTTTATGGATTACACAGTTTCAGAATCATGGCTGTATTCTGGTGTACACTATATGCATTTTAATTAATTTATGAACCGGATCGTATATTTGTTTCTAATATCCTACAGAGCCAAGCAGGATCTATTCTTTGCATCAATATTCTTATTCACATTAATATACGGCAGTCAATTGATTCCCTATGCGTACTCTGGTTTAAGATCTTGTTTGGGGGTCTGGGAACAAGCTTTCTGGTTGTAAGTCAGACGCTCCGGTGAGTACATAGTCCTCTGGAGCAAAGCGGCCCTCTCCATGTCTGGATCCTGCCTGGCCACAGAGATAAAAGCCTCCCACTACTGAAATGGCCCACTGTGTAAGTGCAAGTGACAGTAAGAAAGATAGGGAGGGAGCTGTGGAGGGAAGGAGGGGTTTCAAGTGAGAGTTTGTGAAGCCTGGAGGGAGTGATGGCGCAAAGGAAGTCCAAATATGGGCAGCGTTACCTCACCAAGGGCAGTGCCATTTTGTCAAATGACTCCTGTCTCCTGTCACTCTCATGATCTCATGGTGGAGTCAGTCAAATGAAAAATGCTGCAGCTTCAATGGTGATACCAGGCTTAAAATCAGTCTCAATACGTCAACATCTGAATCTCGAAGCAGAAATAAGCAACATTTCATAGCACCGTTTTTTTTAGTTTGATCAATTTTGTTTTGACAAAGTAACAATGATGTTATTATATTCAGTCTGTTTGCAGATAAAGTCAAACAATATAATGGAATAGGATACATTACTGAATCTACCATCAACAAGGAGCTTTGGATTTTTTAAATATTAATTATATTAATATATATTTTTTGGTATTATACACCAAACTTGTGCCCTGTTTGATAAATTTGCATCACACCCTTTAGTTAGTAGATGCTGCATGTAGACGCTATAAACTTTGAGGGCACGTATCGTATACATTTAAAAACTGGGGTTTGAGACTTGCGTCTCCTCTATAAAAGCTATTTTTCGGGTCTATCGCAGTGGTATATTGGCCTAGAATCTAGTCCAGGACATGAGAGAAGAGAAGTGCCTCACTTAAGATTTACCCCTATGTCTATGTTGTCCTATTCCCCCTCCACAGCCAGAGGTACTGTATGTGTAATCCTGATGTGGTGCAGCAGTTTCACAACCCAGACACCATCTTTATCCTGGCCTTTGCCGTGGTCCTCCTCAACACCGACATGTATTCACCAAACATCAAACCTCAGCGCAAAATGGGCCTCGATGACTTCATACGCAACCTCAGAGGTAAGTGCGTCCAAATACATGTATGAGCATATTGAGAGATAGTGTGTGTTTGACTAGATGTTGTGTGCATGTGTCGTCTCAGGTAGTGTGGACATGATAGATAAAATGCCTGGCAGACATGTTTCAGGGGTGACATACAGCAGATCATGAGGAGATCCAACTGAGAAATATGCCAAAATGTAAAGGAGGACAAAAAAAAGTGAGCTGAAGGGAGGGAAAGTTGCACAACAAGCCATCTCGTATCAACCTAACTGTCTGTCTTTTGAGTGACAGCCTCTTAAAGGGAGGTAAATTACTCAAAGAGGCGAAGGGCGCTCTCCCCTCTCGCCCCATCAAGACAACTCAGCTGTTCAGGAGGAGATTCCCGATATCCTTAACTCAGAGCTCAGCACCAGAGGCCACGGCATTGATTCATTTAATTGAGGCTCCCTTAGAATTTTATTTTTAAGATATGGGTCTTGGGTCACCTGAGGCTCAAACAAAGGTCTCCAACAGCTACTACTAACAAATTTACGTCCATCTAAATTAACCTCACCAAGATTGTTGTCAAACATGAAAGATGTTGTTTTCAAGCAAGCCATGATGGAATTATCATAATTAGCTAGCTACAGGGCGGAGGGCGGCTTACAGTGCTCCTTACCTTGATGGTGACTGTGGGCTACCGTTGCCTCAGGTGTGGATGACGGAGCTGACATCCCCAGGGAGATGGTCGCTGGCATTTATGAGAGGATCCAACAAAGGGAGCTCCGCTCCAACGAAGACCATGTCACCTACGTGAGCCGCGTGGAGCAGTCCATCATGGGCCTCAAAACTGTGAGTCATATTAACCTTTGCGTGCAGGTCCTTCCTTCAGCATTTCTCATTTCGACGAGCCGTTTGTATATCTGTCCATGCCTGTCGTTTAAACTCTGCCTCTGCAGATCCTCGCCGTGCCTCACAGGCGTCTGGTGTGCTGCTGTCGTCTGTTTGAGGTACCTGACGCCAACAGGCCTCATAAACAGAAACTGTTCCAGCTGCAGAGAGAGGTCTTCCTCTTCAATGACCTGCTGCTGGTGAGGAATCTCTAACCACAATAGTCTTTGCGACTGAATTATCGGTAGTTTGTACATAATCAGACATAAACCTAATTGTCGTGTGCCATGTGTTCCTACTATAGATCCTAAAGCTGTGCCCCAAGAAGAAAAGCTCGGCCTCATACACCTTCTGTAAAGCTATGGGTCTTCTGGGAATGCAGTTTCACCTCTTCAGCAACGAATGTGAGATGCTGTTTTACTCCGCTGCAGTGTGTTCTACGTACACCCTAAAGTGCTGAGGTGACTCACAGGATTTGGTGTTCCCAGCGGTTGTCCGGGCCAATACTTCTCCCGATTAGCAACTTGAGATGCCAGACTAAAGTTAGTTCAAGTTAAACCAATAACAATTTCCATGGAAATGCAGAATCTGTTTTTATCTACGTATGACCACGAATGCAACCTATTTCAACTCAGCACTGTTTAAAACCAGAGCTCTCTAGAAAGGGTTGAATAAAAGTGTTAATCTTTGCATATATTTACTTTACATAATTGAGGGATTGCCTCCACAAAGCTCTTAACATGGTGACACCTGATCCGGTGGCTAGCTGATAATGGTGCTAATAATGCTGACAGAGCTAACTGTGTTAGCGCTCACAGCTGTTATGGTTAAAGAAGGTTTTAACTGAACCTGCAATGGGCACCACGAATGTGAAGACCCGTGTAGGTCTTTATTTAAATGCCTAATAGTCGCATGGAAATGAATAGTCTGTTTCCTACCTCGTCGAGGTAAATAGTTTAGTACCTTCCTAATATTTCTGCAAAACCGTTGCAATTGCAATTTTCAAAAAAACAGTGCTTCCGAAACACACGGAACCACGGCATGCTTTCGTGGAATTAAAGTGATGGTAAATGATTTGTTTTTTGATGGTGCTCATCAGACTATGCCCACGGCATCACAATGCTGAGCCCGTTCACCTCGGAGAAGAAGCAGCTGGTGAGCTTCTGCTCCCCAAGTGGAGAAGAACTCAGGAAGTTTGCAGAAGAGCTCAGAGAGGCGATAACCGAGGTCAACGAGATGGAGCAGATACACATCCAGTGTAAGGCACACACACCTCAACATATGCACGGAGAAACCCCCCCAAAACACTCTACTGTAGGTATATGGCTGGTTTCAATTTCTTTTCTTGTGATTTAGGGGAATTGGAGAGGCAACAAGGCATCCTGCCACATGGCGTACACACCAATGGCGGGCAAGTGGACACACACACAGGACATGGCTCTCCCTCAGGTGCTAGTTCTGCTCGTGCAGCATAAAACGCACAACACTGCATACATAAGTCATAGCAACGCATACATTACTCAAGGTAATGTAGAAAATAGGACAGATAAGCTCACCACACTGGAAAAGAAATTGAAAAAAGGAGTGGATGATGATCAGAGGGCATAAGATGTCATTTTCTATTATTAAAAGGTGCATTGGTTCCAGGAGAACTTTCAATTGTAGATTTTCTTTTCCTTTTTGTGCACAGATTTAATTTCTGTATGAATTAAACTGACAAGCTACTTGTTTTAATAGTTAGCTTTAGAGGTGCTGGTAATAATAATAATACTAATAATAATACATTTAATTTGTAATGCACTTTATATTTAAGAAAATCCCAAAGTGCTAGTGGTGGATATTATAGCCTTTGGACAGAGCAACTTTCTTTCCCTTCATGCTAAGTTGGCTATGGCCAATATATATCTATATCTATATCTATATCTATACAGATAGATATATTATATATATCTACCAGACACAAACCTTCAGATGTTTTGAACTAGACTCTAGTTCCATGTGAGACGTGTCGTCGTATCATCTCGTTCTCTGAGACTGTGTAGATTCTCAAAATGCATAATGAGTAACTATTTTCTGTATATGGAGCATAAATCTGCCTGTTGACTTACAAATAGACCTGTTGTACCAACAGGGCAACAGGATGCGTACGATAAAACCGGCAACAACAACACAGTAGAGGTAAGTGCAAAAGCCACTCATGTCTTACTCAGGTAAGCGCCTGCCTCTCTTGTTCTGTGGGTTTTGTATTTGTGTGTCTGTGTGTGTGTCTGTGTGTGTGTGTTCGTAAATAGGAAAGTTGGCTTTATGCTTCGCTTTTAGAAGCGCTCCACTAATGGGACATCCTCACTATGCAGCCGATGACAGAGAGGCTGCTGAGAGGAGGGCGCCGTAGTGGCGCCGCAGTCTCTTTCAGTGCCTCGTGAGTGGTTCAGCAGCCACTCTGCTTCCTGCACAGCTGCCCGTTTGTCATCAGCTGCTGCTTGCCAGCCTGATTGTATAAGCCTTTGCGACCCACCATAAGCCAGGCTGGCTCCTAGAATATCATCTACAAAGCCAGATAAGCTTGATACTGTCTGTCTGTGGAGTGCGTGCGGGTGTGTGTGTGTGTGTCTGTAAAACAAGCCCATGCTTTAACTGAGTCTAGCTTTGGAGACTGTTTTCCTCGTTTGCAATTTTGTCTCTGTTTTATCCCGTTGCCCATTCTTTCCCCTCTCTCTCCTGCCTCTCAGTCAGTCCTTTATGGTTGCAAATAAGTGTGTTAGGGAGACACCCGCCCCCAGTGTCACCTCTCTCCTCTCCTGACACTCCCTTTGACTTGAAGCTTCGCACAAACACACACGCACTCACGCAACATCAGAAACTCTCTTCTTTACCCCGCTGCTCTTTGCTCTGCCTGGTGAATCCTGTAAAAACACGATTGAGAGAAAAATAGTCTAAAGTATGCGTATATATTGCATGTGCTCGCCCTGCACCAATGCCTACCTGCATGCCTGCACGCCTGCATGCCCACGTGCGTAACACACCAGAGGGCTGCGTAGAGGCTGCGTTCAGGCTGGTAACTCCTCATGCGTTCTCTGACTGTTCCTAAACTAGGTGTCAATTCACAACAGGCTGCAGACCTATCAACTGAGCCAGCCCAGTATTGAGTCGACGCCTCTGGCCCTGGCCGCGCCACCCGCCCTGCTCGGCTCTATTCCGCCCGGAGACCTTCGCCCAGACACACTCATCCAATGCCAGCAGATAGTCAAGGTGATTGTGGTGGACCAGAGCGGGCGAGGGCGAATGGAGGCCTTCCTCAGCCAAGGCCCGGCCGCCCACCAGCTCATCCACTCGGCCATGTCCACGCCCGTGCGGGTCATAGATGGGGGAGATGGTCCTCAGCCTCCTCTGCCGCCTCCACCTCCACCATACAACCACCCCCACCAGTTCTGTCCCCCGGACTCGCCCATGCCCTTCCACCACACCCTGCCCCTAACCCGCAGGCGTAACTCCAGCGGTTCCCGCAGCATCGTCTGAGTCGACGGCTACCCGGCGAACCTTTGGGCCCAAAACGGAACAGATGGATCACTTTCGGAGCACACACACACATTCTCGTTTTGAATGGTAAGATTAAAGCGTTTCTAGAAAAAAAAAACAGAGGAATATACTGCATGAGTGGAGTAAAAGGACAACAGAAAAGGAAACCAACAAAGATCTATTCATAGTTTTGAATGGTGATGTTTTTGAATGTGGAGTAGTTTTAATGCCATTTGTGAAAGACAATGTTTCTTCTTTCTTTTGCCTCCAACATGTCAACCGGTTAGATTTAACACTAAAGAGATGTTGTAACTCTGCTTTTTAGATTTCACCTTTGCAACATATGTGTCTGTGAGTTATGCATTGTTGGAACTTTTTATGGGAGCCCTGAAAAGAGTTGAGGGATCGCTTTAAATATGAAGGACAAAACTTGTTTGTTTGGTTCTCTTTCAGGATATTTATGTTATGTCCACACCTCGTACACAGGTATTCAGTGTTAGATACTGCTCTGTGAGGAATCATTTCAGCAGAGATAATCTCCTCACTGCAGTCTCTCTGTTCCTCTCATCTCTACATAATGGGAACAAACGACAGAAGCAGCTTATTAGTTTCCTTCATCTTCAAGGGAATAGATAACTAATCAGTGGTGGAGGGAGAGGCCCAAGAAACAGACCAATTGGTGCCAGCATCTCCACCCTCATGCACCCTCATGTGCAATAAACTGCATTAAGCACAAATGTTGCTACTCACTAAATTAACCTAAAACCACATCCTGGCGACAATCATATTTTTCTGTGCTTCATTGTTGTGTGTTTTGCTAAACTTGTGAGAGAAGATGTCTTCACAATATATTGTGCGTCTGCCCTGATTCTGTGGCACTTTGCTCCCTTAGTGTTCAGGAGATCATTTGCTGCACTGTGACATCTGAGTTGAACCGAGAGCAGCGTGCTGGTGAATGATTTCAGTCTGCTTACTCATGGGCAGCAGAGGAGTACAGCTGGTAATTAATCAAAATCAAGGCTAAAACAGCCAGATAAAGCTTTTCTCCTGCTTCAAATTGACTTCTAATGGGTCACTGAGTATGAATACTGTTAGTACCTATGGATTCAGTACTTGTGCCCGAAATAATTATATGATTTGCTTCACACAGGAAATACCAAAGTCACCTCACAAAATCATCACTCTCCTCTCACAAATTATATTTTATCGTGCACACTAAAAAGTTATATAAGCCGAGTAGCATTTCTATACTGAATGTTAATTAGAGGCGAAGCGGAAGAAGGAATATCATGGAAAAAGTATTGATCTCATCATCGGGTTGTCTGTCCAGAGCCTGAGTCACTTTGTAAATTAGGTTGCAAATCATCCAACTGAGGCACACCAAACATGTCTTGTATCTTTTGCACCACAGAATATATTGGAGACAACATAGATAATATAGATTTATTCTGAAAAATTGATTGTTTGCCCAGTGTGTGTATCTAGGTATGTATTTGTACAGAGAAGATCTAGTTTAAAAAAAGAGTATTATAGTTATATTATAGCTATTATTATTATTATTATTCACAGGTGTGAATCCTTCTGCTAGGAGAGACAGGAATCAGGCAGCTTTTCTAGAGCACACTGCAGTTACCATGGCAACACACTGATATCATTACAGATCTACAATCATCATGAAATTATAGTGTCGTATTATCATAGAATAATTAAGATGTGTCTGTGTCACCTGTTAAGATGTGTAAAGGGCTATTCTGTATTGATGAATATGTGCAGGGAATCACAGGCAATGCACACAGACACACAGACACACAGACACACACACACACACACACACACACACACACACACACACACACACACACACACACACACACACACACACACACACACACACACACACACACAGGCACATAGCTGTTAAAGCAACAGCAAATACAACATAGAATACACTTAGAGACTGATTTCTCAAGTCAGCAACCCCACTTTGTTTACTGACTGACTTGTACTAAACAGCATGATATTGTTTCTTTTATTTACAGTACACATGGGCAGTTTATTTATATGTTGTATTATTATGTCAGGGCATGTTGGGTTGGTTAATGTCATTTTCTCCTCTTCCTATCTTTCTGCCCGACCCCTTAGCCCTGCCTTCTCCATGGTTGTCATGGGGACGCACCAATCTGCATCCTCAATGTGGAGCACTGTCAATAATATTTGCACCCTAACAATATTTCTAAAGAGTAGATTTCAACATGTTTACTAATGGAATATTTCTAATTTGTTTTCTGTTCAAAGAGAATAAAAGAATAAAGTAGTAGTCCTGACATTTCTGTGTCTGTTGACGCCTGAATCCTCTCTTCCCAAATATCTGCATCTGTATCACCCCCACCTCTCTAATGAATGAATGTGCTTCAGGTGTGCAAGGAGGACGGCGGCATAACAGAGCTCATGGGTAATCAGTCTGCACAGCTGTTCCTCCAAGCACACAAAAGACAAAGCAATATTGAATCTGACTAGTGTAATGTCAAGTTGGGAGTCTACATGTCATCGTTTTCCATGGAGTTTTTCCTCTAAACAATAAGAAAACGAGTTAGTAATTTGTCATTTCATATGGCATAGACAACAGCTTAATTTTTACTTGCAGGAAAGTTTAAATGTTTAGCGTGTCATGGCCATTTATTTCTGCAAATCACTCTTAAGAAAGCATAAACAATATAGAAATGCTGCCAACACTTCAACATAGTCAGAATTAAAACAAGATTGAAACTAAAACACCATTTTGGCTGAATAAACATAGGTAATATCAATATAATACTTACAATACTCAGTGAAATCAAATTATAGGCTTACAAATGTCAGCTCACTGCTTTACTCTTTTCTTCCCACAATTTCTGAAATTCTTTGTCACTATCTGCCTTTTGTTTTTACTCGATTTGAAAACAAGTGGACAAGAAGTTGATTAAATGGAGGACTGCAACTGAGAAGCAGGGTGAAATGGAGCAACAAAGTCTTAGTTGACTGACAGCTCAGTTCAAACATTGCCGTTCACATCCTCTTTCTCCTCCTCCTCCACCTCCTCCTCCTCCCCCCGGCTTTGTGTGGTGGAGGCGGCTGGTCCAGAGTCTTCCCTAGAGGCCTCACTCTCACCCAGGCAACGGTATCCCCTCAGTCAGCCTTTTACATGGTGGTCTCTTCCCATTCCAGCTCAACATCACCTTGAGACCAGCACAAAGGTGTGGAGTGAGCGCTGTGCTGTGGGGGGCACGGGTTTGTTCAAGTGTGTTGTTGCATGCGAGTGTGTTTACCTTCCATGGCATCGAGGGAGTCCATCTTCTCCAGAGCTGAATAGCTGACAAACCAGATGGATTGGCTGTTGCCTTTGTTGTTTAGAAGTTCCAGTGTACTTTGGTGCAGGAAGATGTACTGGGCCTGACACGCACATACAGATACACATGGGCACAGACACTGGGCTGATGTCGAAACAAAATGAATTTCATGTAGAATTGAGTCGGGAGTCCTACTGGATTATAAATTAACACCATGACATTTCGTTCAAGGCTTTTTTCCTCCCTTTCAGATGACAAACCTATCGGAGCTGATCCACAGATTTAATTCCAATTTATTTAGAAGGATGGACAACATTTTAAAACTCACCACTGTACATCTTATTTTGAGATAGCTTCCCATTGAGATGAGAGTCTTTCACCTGCCACATTTGCTGAAAAAATTTGCTGCTCATTAGCGCTCATGAGTGCAGAGAGACGGGCGCTTGATGCTGCCAGAGATTAATGCACACAGCAACTCTTTTGATTGGACTGCGATGGACAACGAATGATAACCTTCACCCCTGAAGGAATTTGGTTTACTTTCTGTCAGCGTCTATTTGTTAAGCTGAATCAACCGAAAACAATATGCCAAATTAGATCAGTGGATTGCTGTTAACTCCAGGAGAGGACTTGAGCAGACCTGATCAAAGTCACCCAACAATTCATTTTAGTTGTCTACCTTGCTGTATCACATGAATTTAAAGCAACAATGTTTGTACAATGTTCCTCTTGACCTCATAGCGCTATTCAATATTGATTTATTCATATTGGTATATTGCTGTGAGCCTGGTTAAAGTATACACTGTAACAAATTGCTGTAAATTTACGGTACATTTCTAACGGTATCTTACAGTATGTCATAATAACTGTAACATACAGTTACATTTTAAATTTTATTTTGGTTTGTTTTACAGAGGCACTGGATTAAGGACGCCAGCCGTTTGCTGCGGTCAATTGAAAGTGTTCTATAGCGTATTGTTGCAGTTAGTTTACCTTGTTCCTAATGATTTTATGATTCGTTTTTTTATTATTGTATACATGCGGCATATTTTATGTTTTGATCTTGGTTACAAATGCCTAACATTTTTGTCTTAAAGGCATCTAATAAACTCCAACCACTATGACCGAAATGAGTTTGGTTGTCTTTCTTTAATTTGTGGAGAATGCAAAAGTATACGGTTATAAGGAAACGGTAACATTCTGGTATTTATAACACAAAAACAGTAATCGTATGGTAACAAACTGTAATCCAATATATGACAACATACTGTATATTACAGTAGGGCACTGTAAATAAAACAGTAAGTTCCTAGTGTCGACTGACAGTAAATGGCAGTTAATTCACAGTAAAATTGGTTCAAGTTTACGGTAACATCCAGTAATCCGTTTTACGGAATTTACTGTTTTTTACGGTATAATACCGTAAAAAACAGTAAATTCCTGGCGTCCTTGCTGCCGGTAAAATACCATTAATTTACCGTGACATTTTTTAGAGTGTAGGATCTGTTAAAATAATCATTCATGGCCCTTTTATTGTAAGCTCAACAGTAGAAAGCAAAATAGGATCCTGGAAATATGAAGTGATCTTTGAAAGATCTTTTTTGCAAGAAAATTTGCTTTTGTTTGCACTTGACATTAAGTATTTCAGATGAAAGTGTGCAAAATAGGGCTTGTTTAAAACTGTCTGCAATGGCGCACGTAACCTTTAATTGATTTGAATGGTGGCCTCTTTCTCGCCGAAGCACTTTCTCATATTCTGTATGGCTGGACCAGCATGCAGCAGCATGCAGCTAGCTGTCAGGCACACTTACTTCTGCTCTCTCAAAGAATCAAGCTGCTGTTGTAGTTGTAGACACTACAGGCTCATACTTCACAGTCAAAAGAAATCACAGAAACAATAAAACCATAGTACAGAGGAAAAGCACAGGCACTGGGAAGAGGGTCCCTGCAGACACACACCGCTGCTCTGCAAGTAATGCCTCAATCAGGTGCTGTTTCAGCGGGACTCCTGCTCAGCGAGTGGCTTTAATTCAGATAATTTCCTTTGTCAATACAATAATTTACTAAATGTTTTCTTCTGGGGATCGGATCCTAGCAGGACATGAATTTTAAAACAAGTAGAACAACTAGGCCACCATTTGTGTGCCTTTGAGGATTCTTAAGTGTACTGAACCAACTTAAGACAACATGCTGTATTATACCTGTCATACTATGTCTTTTGTTTATTCTCTCTGGTTTGGGAACATTCGACCACAAGGACAACCCAGATAATTCTATTTGAACTGAACTCACCAGATTCTGTACCATACACATCCTCTCACTGCGGAGCTCCGCCACGAGGCCATAGACATCCACAAAGTCGTGATCTCTGACGTGCTGAATAACGTGGTCCAGAGCGATAAACACGCCTGTTCTTCCCACACCAGCGCTGAGGAGTAACGAGAGATGCACTTTGTGGATGAAACTCTTTTTTCCCCCACCAGAAACAGAGTAGAATACACTTGGCTGTAATTTATACAGTGTCAGTAAACTACCACTGCCGTGGCGCGGTACCTGCAGTGGACCACTATGGTGGTGTTGTTGTGTCTGTGGGATCGGACAGCTTTCACAAACTTGATGAGAGTGGTGCAGGACTCTGGCACTCCATGCTCGGGCCACGATGTGTAGTTGAAGTGGCGAACCAAAATATAGTGCCCGTGCTGCACAGAGGAATTTACACAAGAAATTAAGTGCAATTAATATGAAAGCTACGTCACATGTATTTGGAAAAAGGGTTTATGTTTGTGCGAATTGGAACAAATAACTCGACAATAAAGTTCTGAAAGGAATAGAACGTTTTGGGAACATGTGACTAGTCAAATTTCTGTGAGTTAATTATGAATCAACAGCAACAAGAGAATATTACCTCAGCTTAGAATAAAGGCTTGAATCATCTTTGTGTGTGTGCGTGAGGGGTTGTTGGTTACCTTTTCTACTTTCAGGGTTCTGACCGTCCAGTCAGGAAGGACTTCCTCTGACACCTTTGAGATGAGAATGTCACTGAACACTGACATTGGCCTATTGTCCTCTGGCCAGTACTTGTGACACCGAATCTGAATGGTCACACACACATAACTACACAAACACATAATTTCTTTGCAGCAGATATCACACGAGTTGTTGAGGAGCCCAAAATGTCACCCGGCCCGTCCTCTGAATACTATTTCATAACAGTGGTAAATCTGCCCATGACGCACTCTGCCTTTCTCATAACACTGCGTGAGCATGGCGATGGTGTGGGTTCCCGTTTCCCAGATCATTCTCCAAAACTCAGCCACTGTGCCCGGCAGGGGGCCCTGGGTGGCGATGAACTCGTTGGGACAATGGTAGCCCTAGAAAACAAAAAGAGAGGGGCAGGTGACAAAAACTCAAGCAATATTCACTGACAAATGGAAAAGCTATAAAAGGCTGGCTATCCTACAGAATCACCAGAGGACTGGGAAATGTCTGGAACAAAGTGGGCTTTTAGCATCTGGTAGCTGGTACTCACTGAGACGAAGCTGGCGTTGATGTAGTCAGAGCCCGCGGATCCCGGTTCAGACAGCAGCTTCACTCGGTTGTTATTGTCTGGCGTGAGGTAGAAACACGTGACATCCAGACGCAGTTAATGGTAGAGCTGACACACATCGTTGGTTACACACTATGAGTAGCTTTACTCAGGAAAAGTCCTTTTCAGTCTGAGCACTTACAAGGTTTGATGTTGGGGAAGCGGTTCCTTGATTTGTTCCAGGGCAAGTCTGCATCTGTGGTGGCCAGGTTATGCAGCAACTTTGGAAGCTCCTGGGGAGATAATATGTAGCACGTTAGTAATCACAAAGACACACAATGTTGGGTATTCTTAAAACATTTTGAACTTAATAAAAGTAAAGGTTCTCTTTCACACCTACTTTATTATGGCAGAAATTTCAAATGTTGAAATCAAGAAATCAGCCTTCAAATCAAGAATGATCAAAGTTTGGGTCTTAGATGGCTGCAGTAGAGGTAGAGGACACTTTTATGACTATATCATTAGTTAACAATGATAAATAAAGCAAAATATATTATTTAGAATAGGGCAGTATTCCTCATAAAATGTTTCTCTGTAAAGACAGTAAAAAAACCCTGGTGTTAATTGATTTCACTTTCCATCCGTCTTTGCTGTCCACACGATATCACCAATTATTATTATTTGCTCCTTGTGATGTACCGTTCTTCCAGGAGCACGCATTTCTTCACAATTTATTTGATCAAATCCAGGAGTTTTTATGTTATTTTGTGTCATTTCATATACCCCTACATTTTACACATGTGTGATAAGCACTTGTCCTGTTGGTAGGAAAACTCTTACAGCAAACTCCTCCTGGAACTTGGCATTGTCATTAGCACACAGATCCTCTACGTGCTGCAGAAAAGACTTCTTGTTGACGGGCCTGACGGAGAGGTGAGGGCAGAAACACACATACATACATGTGAGGAACAGAGGGGTATGTAATAATATGTAATACTGTATAGGGAGGCACAAAGAGGATCATTGATCTATGCTGCAACTATTGTGTGTATATTAATATGATTCTTGCAGGGTGACTTACTTGAGTGATTTCCTGTAGCTGAGCAGCCTGGACAAGAATAGACAGCAAAGATCAACCGAAACACCCCCAAAATGAAGCAAATAGTCACAAACCACTCTGTGGTAATTCTGCCCATGACAACTGAACTGATTGTCATTGCAGAGAGTAAATGGCATTGTAGGTTAAAGCAAAGGTGGCTAAACTATTTCATAATCAAGTCCACTTTGATTAAACACTGATGCTGATACGTTTCTTTAGAATGAAACATGTGGTCATTCCCCATTTCGGATGTTGATTCTTTGCAATACTGAAGACACTACGCAGATCTATTGTTTTCCACTTGAAGGCTTGGCGCCCTTCAAGAGCCTTCAGAGCAATTTCGAGATAGTGAGTGGGTAAACAAAATAAAATAGTCTCAAGCAGAGAAGTGTCTGGAAAAAGGAAAAAGGCTGACCCACTGATGTCCTTTGTTTAGGTTTAATAAGCAATGCCAATGGGTGATTAAAAGCATTATGGTTAACTTGACAATGAGCCGCACATAGCGACGACTGAAAAGTGAAACGCAACATGCAGACAGAGCACACACACGTCAAAAAGCCCAACTTACTGGATGACATATATCTCTTTCCGCCTAAAGAAGAAGGAAGAGTACCTGGTGAAATAAGACTGGTAAGTGTTGTGCAAGGGAAATTATTTGTGCCATTGCGTGACAAGAAAAAGTGTGTTGTATCACATTTAAATATGTGGTGTTTATACAGATCTTGGCTCCAATAAAGCAGAGCCACAAACAATCTTAATGATGCCAGCTTACAAGAGAGCTGATGCAGCCGAGTGGTACCAACATGCGATGGTGACAAGCCTACAATCTTTTTTGGGAACATTTAAAATGAGTGGAAAGGAAAGTATCCTAAGGCACTGTCTCCTTTTTTGGGACTACAAAGAGTCACAGCAAAAATGTTGTCTTTGAAGTTTAATAAGGAGGGCAAATATGTGCTATATAAGGGGCAGCTGTCTGGCAACAAAGAAGCTCTTTTATTTAACTATCTTGAGGGTTTTATGTTTTTTTATTATTTATTCAATTCCTCTTGAAGATAACCCATATTTTATACCGTCCATCATTAAATAGGTATTCTATAGATGGTGGGATGGACAGTGTTTATGCTCATTGGTTAGTATTTATCTAATTTAAAAAGTCTAACATTTCTCATTGTAATACTCATGTTCTCTCTTGTAGATTCCTCTTAGCCATCAATGACCATACACCAAAACCAAATGAGCTTGATTTTTTTTCTCCCCAGTTTGACACACTTATTGTCGGCATACTTATTTGTGCCAAAGCAGAAAAAGGGGTTGACGCTCAATTTGAATGAGAGGATGGTTGAAGAGAGAATAACCCGTCTGTTCTGCAGACAAGCGAAGATACATTGCAGTCACAATGACACTGCGTTATTTTCACACCACTAAAGGGCTTTTGGCCTGACATAAGCGCAGATAAAGGTAACTAAGATTTTTGTCTTGTTGACTAAGGTATAAAATCTTGTCTGCAACAGTTAAATCAGAGACTAACCGGTTGAGTTTTTCCAGTTTCAGCTCCAGATCTGCAACGGCAATCAGCTGATCCAGTTTACACTTGGTCTCTATGATCTCTGCCTCTCTGGGTGAGTAAGTCCCGCCCTCCTTCTTGCGCTGTTGGATTCTAACATGTCGAACAAACACATCTAGTTAAATACAATGTAAACACATTGTAAAACATACACACAAGGAAACAGATTTATTGGAAATCATCCATTGTGAAATTCTTATTGTTTTGCTCGTTACACTGCAGATTGTAATTTTCATGCATTAACACTCAATTGCAATCAATGTTGCAAATCATTGAACGCCAGCTGCCGGCTTACTTGACAGAGCCACAGATGATGACAATGAGCAACACGGCCAAAAAGAAGGAGAGCAAAAACACCCAGAATGATTTGCTCTTCTCTGGTCAACAGTCCGTCCACTGCAGAGAGAAGAGGAGATAGAGGTGACAGCATCACACAAAACTATGGAAGCTATACATTGAAAAAAAAATATTGAGACAAGTACAGAGATAGTATGAATACCTGCAGTTTTGACATGATCGGAGTACTGCGAGTCTGTGTATTGACCATTGATATTCGTGGCTCTGAACTTGAACCTGTTAAACATGGAGCGGTCCAGAGTCAATTTAATATTATAAAACATGTGGATACATTACATTACATGTCATTTAGCAGACGCTTTATCCAAAGCGACTTACATTACACTTTAAACCCATGGCTTTTTCACATTTTTGCCCAGGGAGCAATTAGGGGTTAGGTGTCTTGCTCAGGGACACTTCGACATGGAACATGGGGCAGTCTGGAACCAATCCACCAACCTTGTGCTTCCCAGCACACCTTCTCTAACCCCTACGCCACGACGACCCCTGATACAATGATCTTAAGTTGTTTTGCTGGTGAATGTGCGCTGCACTTACACATAGACGGTGTTTTGCTTCAGTGGCCCATTGCAGTAAATGTCAGTGTTGTTCTCCTTATACAGCCATCGTTTCGACCGATCACGTACGTTTCTGCCGTAGTGGGATCTAGTCTCGCTGCTGGCCGCGCCCCCACAGACACTGCGACCGCCTCTGACCTGTGTGCTTGTGCGCACAGACCCGTCCTCCAACGGACACGGCGGGTTGGGGAACCCCGTGTCGGTCAGGTAAGGGGCGGCACGATCAAAGAAGGCCTTCTTCCAGTTGGTCAGGTTCTGGATGTCCTTCACTGTGACAGGATGAGTAAGTCAGGCAGAGAGAAAAGGAATCACAGGTCGAATGAGTCAAATTTCTGCTGACTTTAAGCCCTTTGGCTTTTGCATACATTTTGACTTTTTGCCACTAGATTCCACAAGAGGCTTGAAGCCAAAAGCAAGGCCGATACCCAAGTCTATTCAACTAAAAGTGACAGATGTCAATGTTTCTGAGGAGTCATACCACCTGACTCCGCCACGATGACCTGAATTTTGTGATTGGTCCGTTGTCATCCCTATAGAAACAGGCAGGCATGCGGATGGTGATACTCCTGTGGGTTAGCATGGCAACCCCTCCATTGCCTAGCACTGCCGTAGGTATTTGGGTTGGTTTGGCCGGGGCTGGAACACACACACATACACAGACACAAACACATACACAAACAAACAAACAAACAGACAGACAGACAGAGGTTGTTGCGTGAATACAATGTAAAGATGTGGATTAGTTTGATGCTTTTCCATAGAGGTCATTAAAAACAGTGCACTGCTCAGTCCTTTACAGCATCAACACACATCTGACAATATTGCTATGTTATATTTGCTATGCTAGAATAGACCTGAAATGACACCATTTTTTTTATAACAGGAAATGCTGCCGAGCAATGCGGAGCACACTTAAATATTGTGACTTGTACCTATGATTCCTGTAGTTATCTGGACGGGTGGGCTGGGTGGGCCACTCCCAGCCCCGTTCTTTGCTAAAATCTAGATGCAAATAGAAGAAAGGACAGAATGGGGGCAAGCACAAAAAGGAGTTAAAGAAAATGACATTTGGACCGGTTTAAACTTGTCTGGGTTTGGGCCGTGAGGGTGTGTAATGTGTGTGTAATGTGTGCGTGCTTAACCTGGACGCTGTAGCTGTGTCCTCCCTTTAGGCCTCTTATGACAGCACTCATCCTGTTTCCCTCTCTTTCTGTGATATTAAGGTTGATGTTCTGGACCAGTTGGTCTTTTTCGTAGATGTACACAAAGTAAGCAGTTATTTGTCCATTGGGCTCTCCTGGAGGGGTAAAAGTCACCTTCACATGGTTCACCTCCTCTGGGATAACTGATACTGTCACATTTGGGAGGGTCTTTGGGCTCTGGAGTACAAATGGTGTGAGAAAAGATATCTGGGTGTATTTACAGGTGGACAGGAGCTAGTTGCGCCCGATATTTCCACATACCCTCCTCCATTGTTTGAAATTCAATAGGCCCGATGGATTTTCCATTGCTGGCAGCGTGCTCCAACGGACCAGTGAACGAGGTGACAGTCACCGAGTAACGAGTGAAAGCAGTCAAGTTGGTCACAACGACAGTCGTCAACTCTCCCGGAGCTCTGACCGTTGAGAAGTTCAAACCAAGACCATCCACCTGGTGTGACGTGAGAGTTTGTGGAAAGATTAATACTCGCATGTGGATGATCACAGTTGGATCAACGCAGCAATGTGGTTATCGGTGTCATATTGGGTTCATGTAAAACAAAACTCGATGAACTGACCGAACAAGATAAGAAGTCGGTCCAGAGAGAACAGCGGGAGCACCCCATGAAATGCGAGGCCGTTGGATGAGGGAATCACATTCATGTCCCGGGGAGGCTCATCAGGGTCTGACGGAAAACATAAGAGGAACACAGAATGCTTATGATGTCAAAAGCCTGTCATTGTTGCTTAGTTATCATGCAAATGTCCATTGATTTAAATGTAAGCCTTTGTGCAACTTATGAATGCTGAATCTCTGAACAATTTCAACCTGTTCTAATACTGTAAAGAGAAAGACTTTCTTTTATAGCAAAATACAATTTTATTTGAGTTTAAGAGATGCCCTTACTTACTTATACACAAACAAACATGATTCACATTTATTCAAATTGAAAATAAATAAAACAAAATACTGACTAACTGACAACTGTTTCCCCGCAACACAAAAAGATGTCATCTTTGTGACGCTCTTACTTCCAGCCAGTGTACGTGCATATTTCCACTGTGTATATTCCCCGACTCCAGCCCTGGTCACAGCAGCCACTTTGAAGCGGTAGTATCTGTACTTAGCCAAGGAGTGGAGTGTGACGCCGCCGTTCTCTTCCATGCCATCCGACGCGTTCACTGACACTGTGGCATTAGAGTCCACGCAGCCTGGGCTCAGTTCATCCTCTGGGGCCGGCTTTGCGGTACTCAGTGCATTTGGCTCACAGACTGTTGAAAGCAGCTGCACGATGATGTGGTACCCAGTCAGGAGGCCCGGAATGGAAAACGGTGCAGTCCAGTGAAGCGTCACGTTGTTAGTTGTGACCTGAGAGATGGTGAGGAAGCGAGGGGCAGCTGGGGCTGTTGAGGTAGACAGAAGGATTGGACGAGGTTATAGTCAAGAGATCGGGATATCAGCAATTAAAAAGATTTAACGTATTCCATATTTACTCACAATTGTTACCATATTTCCTTTGTCTATCTATCATTGATTTCACAGCCGGCCATCTGATTAATAAACACGTTGGCTTGAGGAGAATCACATTTGGCTTTTCTTAAACTATTAATGCTGCTGAGCATCTTCACTTCCTTCACAAAAATAACCTCTTTGGAGGAGTCTTTGAAATAGTTCCAATGTTTTAACCCGACCTACATCAGTGTACTACAGTCCTGCTCGGGTAGGCAGTGTGTGGTTTACCTGACCGTTAGTGGTGAAGGTCACTGGGCTGCTGAACTGATTCCCATGGCCCACTCGGGTTGTAGCTGTAAACACAGGTCTCATAGGAGCTATGAGGCCTGAATCCTGATATATACTCTGTGGTCGTTGTACCGGAGGAGTTCTACAAAACATTAAAAACAAATGACAGGAGATTATAATCATCCAATCCTGGTTTTACTGGAGTGTATAATATGGTATTGTATAGGCAACCATACGTGCTGTATATGTATGTCTAATGTGCTGCCGAGTGCTTCCCTAAGTGTGAATTAGAGCTAACGTGGGCGTGACTGTGTGTAGTCTCAAAGAGTGGGTCTCTGGAGTGAGTGTGAGTGTTGTTATTGTGGAGAAGCTCTTGGTGTGTGAAATTACGGTTACCTTGTGTGTGACGGAGTGTGTGATGAGGTCTCGGATCCTGAAGCCGTAGTATCACCACTCCATTGGGCTCCAGGGGAGACTCCCACCTCAGCCACACAGAGAATGCCGTGGGGTTGGATATGGTGAGGTTGCGGGGAGGAGACATGGGCCCTGAAACACAAAGTGAGGCAGATAGAGAGGAAGACTAGATATACACCCCATATCTTCATTAATAAATATCATCTATTAGGATTTTAGAGACAATTTAAACCGGCGTTCAAAAACCTCCTTCATCAGTGTGCAGCTGCAGCAGCAGATGGAGGCCCTGAGCCTTTACGCGTTGTGGCCGTAATAGTGAGGTTGTAAGCTGTGTATGGGAATAAGTTGTAAGGACGAATGAGGTGTTGGGCGTGTTAGGTTTCGGAAGCTCTCGAGGGAGGCCTCAATCCTTTGTTCTCGTACGGCCGGAAACGAGGACACGAATGAGTCAATTCGTTTAAATTCAAAAATCAAAAGTTATTTAATAACTGAACAACGTAATAGGGATTACAATTACAAAGTGAAATACTAAGCGAACAGTGGAATATTTCGCGAAATAGAGAATCCTCTGAGCAAGTCTGAAGTGACTTATCAACGCGGCTGCAGGAGAAGTTCTAACAGTCTTTCCCCGCTTTGGTCCTTTGAAAACTCTTGAGGTGTGTCTTCTTTGGTGCATTTGAATGTCATTGCCTCTTCTCCAAAGGGTCACCTCCTCCATTGTCCCTTCCACGTCGAGGTGTGAAGCTGCAGCCGTAACCTGAAACCTCTCTGACCTAGCTGTCCCTCACATTCCAATGCACTCAATACAGATAAAGTGGCTTTAGGCCTCAATGAGTGAACCCAACAAAGCATACATCGTGTAAGTCTTCATCTTAACTAGTACACTTTCATTACAACAACCCATCATTAATGATTCACCGTTCATCACACCTTCATCATAAGATCTAAAACAGTCATGGGTTCAATTCTCAAGACATTTGCCTCAGTCGGCTGCCTTGCAATAAGTTGTTCAATTACCTGACAGGAGAAAAAACTCCCAAAAAACCCTTTTGGGGA